TCAATGTTTCGGGTCAATGACTGTTCCTCAGATGCTGCCAGATCTACTGAGCTTTTCCAGCAATTTGTTTTTGTCTCTGATTTACAGTATCTGCAGTTCTTTCAGTTTTTAATATTTCAGAGGGCTTGAATAACTTGGAAAAAGAGGAGTCTGTAGACATATGATGTGTCTATGAGATGGTTTTTTGGAGCAGCTTGTGGTAGACCCCACCAGAGAACGGCAATTCTGAATTTAATATGGTGCAAAGAGGCAGACTTGATAAGGGAGTTTAAGGTGCAGGAACCCTGCGGGAGTAATGACCATAATATGATTGAATTTACACTGCAATTTGAAAGGGAGAAGATGGAATCAGATGTAACGGTATTACACATGAATAAAGGCAAGAGGGATGAGGGAAGAGCTGACCAGAATTGATTGGGAGAGGAGCCTAGCAGGAAAGACAGTGGAATGGCAATGGCTGGAGTTTCTGGGAGTAATTCAGGAGACACAGCAAAAATTCATTCCTAGGGGGGAAAAAAGCGTACTAAAGGAAGGATGGGGCAACCATGGCTGACAAGGGGAGTCAGGGACAGCATAAAAGCAAAAGAGAAAGCATAGAGTGTGGCAAAAGGCAGTGGGAAGCCTACAAAGATGAACAGAGGACAACGAAAAAAGAAATAAGGAGGGAGAAGATTAATTAGGAGGGTAAGCTAGCCAGTAAGATAAAAAAAAGTTAGAGTTTCTTTAGATGTATGAAGGGCATAAGAGAGAAAAAAGCGGACATTGGACTGTTGGAAAATGACACTGGTGAATTAGTAATAGGGAACAAAAGAAATGGTGGAGGAATTGAACAAGTACTTTGCGTCAGTCTTCACGGTGGAAGACAGAAGTAATATCTCAAAACTTCAAGCGAGTTGGAGGCAGAGCTGAGTATGGTGGCCATCACCAAGGAGAAGGTGCTAGAAAAATTGAAAGGTCTGAAGGAAAATAAATCACCTGGACAAAATGGGCTCCACCCCAGAGTTCTGAAGGAGATAGCTGAAGAGATAGTGGAGGCATTAGTGGTGCCCTTTCAGGAATCCTTGGAGTCCGGGAGGGTCCCAGAGGACTGGAAAATTGCTAATGTAACCCCCCTGTTTAAGAAGGGACTAAGGCAAAAGACGGGAAATTATAGGCCGATTAGCCTGCCCTCAGTCATTGATAGCATTTTGGACTCCATTATGAAGGATGAGATTTCTGAATCCTTGGAAGTGTATGGTAAAATAGGGCAAAGTCAGCATGGTTTCATCAAGGAGAGGTTATTCCTGACAAATCTGTTAGAATTCTTTGAGGAGGTAACGAGCAAGTTAGACTAAGGAGAGCCAATGGATGTTATGTATCTAGACTTCCAGAAGGCCTTTGATAAGGTGCTGCACAGGAGGCTGCTGAGTAAGATAAGGGCCCAAGGTGTTAGAGGCAAGGTATTAGCATGGATAGAAGATTGGCTGTCTGGCAGAAAGCAGAGAGTGGGGTTAAAAGGGCCTTTCTCAGGATGGCAGCCGATGACAATTGGTGTTCCACAAGTGTCAGTGTTGGGACCTAAACTTTTCACTTTATATCTTAATGATCTAGATGAAGGAACATGATGTGGGCATTCTGGCTAAGTTTGCAGATGATACAAAAACAGGTGGAGGGACAGGTAGTATTGAGGATGCAGGGAGGCAGCAGGAAGATTTAGACAGGTTAGGAGAGTGGGCAAAGAAGAGGCAGATGGAGTACAATGTCGGAAAGTGTGAGGTCATGCACATTGGTCGGTAGAATGGAGGCATGGACTATCCTCTAAATGGGGAGAAGATTCAGAAATCTGAAGTGCAGAGGGACTTGGGAATCCTAGTCCAGGATTCTCTTAAGGTAAACTTGCAGGTTGAGTCGGTAATTAGGAAGGCAAATACCATGTTGGCATTTATCTTGAGAGGACAGAATAGAAAAGCAGGGGTTGTACCTCCTGAGGCTTTATAAAGCTCTGGTCAGATCACATTTAGAGTATTGTGAGCAATTTTGGGCCCCATTCCTCAGGAAGGATCTCCTGGCCCTGGAGCAGGTCCAGAGGAGGTTCACGAGAATGATCCCAGGAATGAAAGGTTTAACATATATGAGGAACATTTGAGGACTCTGGGTCTATACTCGATGGAGTTTAGAAGGATGAAAGGGGATCTAATTGAAACTTAAAGAATATTGAAAGGCCTGGACAGAGTGTACGTTGGGAAGTTGTTTCCATTGGCAGGAGAGACTAGGACCTGAGGGCACAGCCTTAGAGTCAAGGGAAGACCCTTTAGAACTGAAATAAGGAGAAACTTCTTCAGCCAGAGAATGGTGAATCTGTGGAATTCATTACCACAGAGGGCTGTGGAGACCAGGTGATTAAGTATATTTAAGACAGAGGTAGATAGGTTTTTGATTGTCAAGAGGATCAAAGGTTATGAGGAGAAAGTGGGAGAATAGGTTTTTCAACCCATCCGCCATGATTGAATGGGGGAGCAGATTCAATTGGCTGAATGGCCTAATTTCTGTTCCTATGTCTTCATGGTCTTGTGTAGATTTCCAGAACGCACTTAACAAGGTGCCACATCAAAGGTTATGCAGAACTAAAAGCTATTGGTTTGGAAGGAATGTAGAAGCATAGATAGAACATTGTTTCACTGGCACAAAACAAACAGTATGCATAAATGTGTCTGTCTTATTGGCAGAATGTGAAGAATGGAGTCGCACAAGGATATATATGGGCCTCAACCTTCTTCAATTTACATCATAGATGAGTAGAATAAAGACATGCTAGCTAAATTTGCAGATAACATTGAGAGAGTTAAGAAAGCAAGTTGTGAAAGATAAAAGGGGCTTGCAGACAGATATCATATCACAGAATCCCTACAGTGTGGGGTCCATATCTACCCTCCGAAGAGCATCCCCCCCAGACCCATCCCCCTAACCTATCCCTGTAACCCTGCATTTCCCATGACTAACCAACCTAGCCTGTACATCCCTGAACACTACGGGCAACTTAGCATGGCCAATCCACCTAACCTGCACATCCCTGGACTGTTGATCAAGTTTAATCAATTTATTAGACCTCTTTGAAAAAAATCACGTGCTGTGGGAGAAAAGAGGAACCAGTGGCTGTACTGTATTTGGATTTCTAGAACACATTTGATAAGATACTACATGTGTTAAATAAAAGCTCGTAGCCCAGGGGGTAAGATATGGGGTTGGACAGAAGATTAGCCAGCTAACAGGAAAAAGTGTATAGTTATAAATCAGTCACTTCTGGTCACAAGGTGTAACAGTTGTGCCACATGGATCAGTACTGGGGCCTTAGCATCTTACAATCTATGTAAATTACTTGGACGAAGGAGCAAGTGAGCATATGATACAGGAGCATGAAACCTCTTCAGCCAGTTCTACCATTCAATAATATTCCTTTTACAAAACTACGTTAACTCAGCTTGATTACCTTGACTCTAAGTGCCTGCTTTAAAGTCTTTAATAATAGCTTCTAGCATTATCCTTACAACAGATATGAAGCTAACTGGACTGTACTTTCCTGCTTTCTGTCTCACTCCCTTTTTGAGTAAAAGACGTTTATTCACTATTTTCCATTCTAATGGATTTCCCTGATTTCTAGTGAATTTCACAGAAATGTAATCAAACAAAAATGGATTAAAGAGAAATTAGGAAGAGTGACAAAATGTTTTGTCAGAAAGTTATGTTTACAAAGTGGGTCTTGAAGGAGAGGGAGGTTGAGAGATGGAAAGGTTAAATGAGAGAATTGTAAAGCCTCAGATCAAGACCGTTGAAGGTTCTCATCACCGTTAGCAGAAGTGCTGTAAAGCATATGGACTAATAAACATTGTCCTACTGTGGCAAGATTGTGGCATGCTTGGGAGGTTCCCAGAATGAAGTGTTTTGATATTACACAAAGATTGCCTCTGAGGCATGCCTTTCCTGGCCCAAAAGAGGGAAGGCAAGTGATTGATCTGTGTCACTATTTGCAGTATAGAACATGAATGGTATAAGTTGACAAGTGGCATCTGCCTTCATTGTTGGAAAAATCCATTTCATATAAGAAAATGAACATTTAACAAAGACTACTAGATTAATAATTGTTTGAAAGTGTGGAAGGAATAAATTAAAAGTTAACTGAAATATTTGAATTAAATGATGAACCTGTTAACCTAGATAAACTATGCTGCAAAGTCTCTTAACACCTGAAGTTTAGTTCTTGTGTTAAAGATATTTTTCTTTTTGTTTGCCTTTGTGTATTTGGGATTATCTAACTCTGACCAGGCTGAGCCAGCTGGAATGTGATTTTTGTTGAGTGAAGAGATTAGGCCCAGGATGTAAACACAGGCCTCAGTGCCTGTTATTTCATCCTATGGACTATTATTGCAGAAGCAAGACCGGCAAAGCTGACTTGATACATGCATTCATTGAGATAAAGAGAACAGTGTCAAAGCAATTAAACTAAACAGATTTTCATTAAGTAAATTGCAGCAAGGATGTGCTGTTTGCAGCTAGACAACAATTAGTGTTAATATCCATGCCACTTTGCCTCCCTCATATTCATTTGATTGTAATTTGTGCAAATGGATTATGCTTGGACCGCGGGGCTGAGATATTGGCCTCTTTGACGGTTTAAACAGGTAGTTTTTTTTTAATAAATTGTGGGGAATGCTATTAAGTTTGTGATAAAACCCCCTACATTTAATTAATCCTTAAATATTAATAGGCATGAATGAGCTAAGGATTTTGATCAGTGCACAGTGGGGAAAGGCTGTGAACTTTTCAGAGCTCTACTGCAACATAATCATTTTATGCTAGAATGTGCTTGGCAAAGACCTGAATCGACAGGCATTTAACAATAATTAGGAGTGAGTTATTAAAGCTGACTGTATTCCTCGGAGAGGTGAATCAGCCAGTGATGATTAAGCGTGGAAATGTACTGCATAAACACTTCAGAAAAGGTTTGTTTTTCTTTCATTTTCTAGGTTCAAGCTTCACTGGAAGCAGTCTGACGTTGAATGAGAAACCTGAAACAAAGGGACCAGGTGTTTCCAAGGTTTCTGGACTAGAGCGTAGCCAGGAACAGAGCAAGGAGTCGCCCTTTGTGCCACTGGTGCCAAGTCCTCCAGCCACTGTTGTACCTCCAGCTTCTTCAGCGTGTGCTTCCAATAGCACGGCGAGTCCAACAGTAAAGGAGACTGTTTACCAGGCACAACCGCAAACAAGACATCCAACACCACAATTACAGCCCCAAATACAGCATTATCCTCTGTCTCAAATTCACACGCAGCCTCCTGTCCATCACCAAATTCATCACCAGATACCTTTCAGCAGTCTTAACAGTATCAGGTAAGGAGGAAAGATATTAAATTACTTTAAGAATCTACATGGTATCTGGATTTTGTGTACTGGGTGAGCAGTATCGGTTCTAATGTCTAGACCCCTATCTGTATCTGGCACAGTTCATTAAGTGCTTCCAGGTATGTTGTATTACCACTTCATCTAAGTGCAGTGACACTAACTCTAACTCTACTTTAGAGCACTTGCTTCTACAATAGCATGGTACTTTCCTATTTCCTAGGAAAGTTATTCAATTATCTCTGAATCTAATTACAAAATTATGGGGTTGTTTTGTGTTGTCCCAGTGAGGGATTTTCATTCAATCAGTCCAGAGTTGATTTGAACCAAGGTCCCAAAGATACGGGGCGACACGGTGGCACAGTGGTTAGCACTGCTGCCTCACAGCACCAGGGACCTGGGTTCAATTCCAGCCTCGGGCGACTGTCTGTGTGGAGTTTGCACATTCTCCCCGTGTCTGCGTGGGTTTCCTCCGGGTGCTCCGGTTTCCTCCCACAGTCCAAAGATGTGCAGGTTAGGCGGATTGGCCATGCTAAATTGACCGTAGTGTTCAGGGAGGTAGAGGGTGTATATTAGGTGGGTCATAGGGGGATGGATCTGGGTGGGATGCTCTGAGGTTCGGTGTGGACTTGTTGGGCTGAAGGGCCTGTTTCCACACTGTAGGGATTCTAATAAAAGTCTAGATTTTGTTCAAGCCTCCACTTTTTATTTATGAGTGAATATTTGTGAAAGCCAAAACGTACCAACTTTACTAGCATACATGTACTCACTGCAGCCTGAAACCTGCTTCGTTAGTTCAGCCCATTTATTTTTGACAAAGCTGTATATCATTTTTTTATAGGGTTAATATTGAAACCAAGAATAAAAACTGATTTCACACAGGTTCTGCAAAACCACTAATACATTTCATCTAGGTCCATTGAAAACTGCTATTGTTACACTCTAATCATTATGCCAAAAACAGAAATTTTGAGCATGGGGTACAAGTTAAATATTAAGATTGAAAGAAAATATTCAGCTGTTTGTTTAATTGTAGCTACTGCTTAAGGAAGAGTGATGCGTGACAAGTTAGGATTGTAATGGTGAAGTTTACTGAATTTCAAAATTGTTAACCAAAATTTATTTTGAGATGGTGGATGCAGAAATATACAATTAATTAGTGACCCAAGTTTAGTATAATTGGTGTGTCCTGTTACCTTCATCCGTGGGGATTTTCACCCAGTTATAGTAATAAACATAATGCTGCATGATGTGTTAAGAAGGACGAGAAAGAAGGGACCCACAGCACATTTCACTTTTGAGTTTATCTATTAGATAGAGTTTGAAGCACAGGGTATTTTCTTGAAAGAAAAACTTGTATTTCTATAGTATGTTTTATGACCACTGGATCTCCCAAAGTACATCATGACCAATGAAGTACTTTTGAAGCGTAGCCACTCTCTATATACGTGGGAAATATGACCGCCAATTTGCTTGTAGCAAACTTCCACAAGCGGCAACATACTTATAACCAGATGATTTGTTCTCGTGCCCATCAGTGGCTAAAATCTTCTTTTGTACTCTTGTAACCCAAACTTGCCTCTTCCAGTCTTCTCTAAGACAGACTACCATCTTCCACCTGCCATAATATGAGGTCAGCTTTTGTCTAACTCACTATTTTTAACATGACTTACCCTTCATCCCTGTGGCCCCAATCCAGTAGTACTACCTAAATCCTCAATAATTAATAATAGATTGATGTTGTTTAAAAATGTTATGTTTGTGTTCAAATATCACCCATGGCCTTGCCATTTCCAATCATCACCTCAAACCCTGGTAATTCTGCCGTCTTTCAGTTCTGGGCATATGTGCAGTTTCAGTTTTCTTCATCTCTATTACTGACTGCTGTAGATTCTGAGCTCTATTGCAGAACTTCTTTCAGTGGAGTAGCCTACCTTTTGTTAAAAATAAATTAACTGCAAAATTTAGTTTTAAACTTCACAGTTTCTTGCTTCCCCCTATAAATGCTTCTTTAAAATCCACCTCTTTGACCAATATTTAATATTTTAACATTTAGTATTTCTGTATGACTCATCGCCAAATTTTGTTTGATAGCAATCCTGTGAAGTGCTTTGGGATTTTACTATGTTAAAGGCATTGTAGAAATGCAAGTTATAATTGTGGCACTGCTTCATTGCTATTACCTCCATATTGCACAGTAGGTAATGGTTCTGTTCTATAATACTAAATTATGGCCACTATCTGTGATATGTTCCAACTGACTTGTAATGTGCATCTAATGTAACTTACAGCCTTTTATATAATCATAAAGTGTGTTTGAAAAAGTAATTAAGTTCTGAAAACCTGTTTCTTAGATTGAGTAGTTCTCAATGCTATGTCAACCTCTGTCTACCTGATCAACAACCATTAGTAATTTTTGCAAATACAACTTTGATCTACTTTTTAAACCATTGGCTGATCAAAATGATATGAAATTAGCACAATTGGATGATTGCTAAATCTGCCATGCAACAGAAAGACTGTTCATTTTGTTCTTTCTTCAATTGGAAACAGGCTCGCAAGAGCTATAAATAATGCTGTCAGCAGTCAGTATTTAAACCAAGTGGGCAGTAGTTCATATTAGCCTGAATGTTAGCCCTCTCGACTTGACCAATGCTACATTTAATGTAACAGAAATAATTGTTTCACTGACATTCCTACATCCTGAACAAAACTGTGCTATATAATTTCAGATGTGATTCAATAGGCTGAGAACGTGCTAACTTCAAGATAATGAAACCAAAAAGTTAAACAGTCTGTCAATAAATAAGTGGCCCATTTACCTTCAGAAAGGAAATTATATATCCAATGAAAGAATTGCAGAACTTTGAACAGTAAAGCCCTGTTTTTCTTCTGACTAATTTAATTTTTTGTTATAATAGTAAATCAAATTACCAGATCAAATCACCCCCTATCTGGAGAAATGCCACCTTAAATTCCTTTGAACATGCCTGAAAGTAGAAAATTTATTTAAGATGTAAATTCTCAGCTGTATTTGTTTTAAATAGCTGCATTTGTACATTTTAGCGCATACTTCAGTTAAATGTTGCATTATTTGCACAGCACAGATGACTGCCATATTGCAGTTAATAGTTGCCTTGTGTTTCAAACCACATCACTGGGGAGGTGAGTCATCATAATCTTGACAGCAGTTACCAGATTTTCAGTTCAGAGTAAAAGTGGGCAAAGTTGTTTCAGACCATGTTTTCCAGTGTATGAGATTGATGTTTATTTGTGAGCAAACCACCTCATCTAATATTTTAATTTAACTGCAAAACATCCAGATGTGAAGAGAAGGTATTTTCACATATACTGTACACTTAAGGAATAATCACATGAATTGCCCATATTAACTTCTAGTCATTTGGTAGTACAGAACTTGAGTATTACCAGAAAAAGAGACACCATTTTTTTGAAGCTTGTGCTTAGCAAGATGGTTTTCAAGCATATTAACTTAAGGGGAAAACCATTTATACTGTTTCAGAGGAGACTGCTGATTAGTTGGTTGGCAAGTAGACAATAATTGGTGGAGGCATTACAACGAAGAATGCACAAAAATTGGTTGACAGTTAATGGCCAGGTTTTGGTTAAATTTTAAACCAGGCAATTGACTGGGCAGAGCATTGCCCTGAGAAATGAACTAGTAAATGACTGTCACCTGTTATATATTGAAATAGGTGCAGTGCAGGTATACGGGCAGTACAATGGTTTGCAATACTGCCTCAGCATTTGGGAACCAGGTTTGGGTGGAGTTTGTCTGTGTGGAGTTTGCACGTTCTCTCCGTGTTTGTGTGAGTTTCCACTGGGCGATCTGGTTTCCTTCCACAGTCCAAAGATGTGCGGGTTGGGTGGATTAGCCATGGTAATTGCAGGATTATGGGGATCGGATGGGAGACTATGTCTGGGTGGGATGCTGTTTGGAGGGTTGGTGCAGACTCGATAGGCTGAATGGCCTCATTCCACACTTCAGGGATTTTATGATTCTATGTCCAGGAGGCCCTTGTATCACAATAGTAATGTCCCTACATCTGAGCCAGAAGGCCTGGGTTCAAGTCCCACCTGCGGCAGAGGTATATAATAACATTTCTGAACACGTTAAACAGAAAATATCTGCAGGTACATGTTCTTATCTGCAAAGAACACTACCCTATGTGCTAACATATTAACTTCCAGTACACACAATTCAGGATAGTTAGTTGGGCTCACAATGTGGTGCACTTGTGTGTGCTGGAAGCTACATGTTGGTGGAGATGAGACCAGACTAATAATAATCCTGGTGTAGTAATATAGAACCCCAGGTTAATGTTCTAGGGATGTGGGTTTTAATCGTACCATGGCAGATGGTGAAATCATAATTCAGTAAAAAAAATCTGGAACTAAAATTTAGCCTAATGCCAATCATGTAACCACTGTCATATTGTCATAAAAAGTCATCTTGTTCACTAATGTCTGTTGCCTATATCTCGCTCCAGACACACAGCGATGTTGTTGGCTCTTTACTGCCATCTGAAATGCCACTCATTTCAACAGCAGTTGTGGATGGTAACAAATAAAGTCAGCAATGCCCACATCCCATCAATGCAATAATATCATTTCTGGCAGTTAAGGTATCTCCTAATCAACCTGTTCAGAGATCTTCTACAGCTCTGGAACAGAAGGGTCTCGAACCCAGATCGCCTGGCTCATAGATAGTGCCATTAGCACGGTGCCACAAGAGCCCTTTAAATAGCGGACCGGTATAGAAAGCCAAGAAGCCACATAGAATTTGGCTGAGTCTTTGTAAACCCTCAATCTTGCGGATATTTTTAATCATATTCTATGATACACTCTGGAGCAGTGGGACTTGAACTTCTTTTGCTTCTGCAAAGAACCAAATGCGTTTTTAACAACAATGATTACTTAATTGCCATTGTGCTGGCTTTTTATTCCTTTTTTTTATTTCATTGCGTTCAAATTTTAACCATCTGCCATGATAGGATTTCAACCCTTGTCCCTAGAGCGTGGATCACTAGTCTGGTGCCATTACCACTAGACTACTACTTTCCCAGCCTGACATATTCTAATCAACCTGTGCAGAGATCTTATTACACAACTCTGGAGCAGGTTGGATTTGAACATGAGCCTCCTGAGTCAGAGGCAGGCAAACTTACCACTTCTAGCCTGAAGGTTATTTGTGAATTATCACTAATTGGTGCATTCTATCAGTCAGGGTTCACTTGCCAACCAGTCAGCATTCTACCTTTCTTACATGTTGTGTAAAAAATGCTTTTTCCTTGAATTGGTATTCTCCTAAATTTTCCTGATAAATACAAGATGAAAGGCTTTGAGAAAATGTCTGTCTTTCATCATCGTCATTATCCTAACTTTTTGTAACTATACTAGTGTAGTAGTTAACATTATAGATAAAGGTAAGGTTGCCGTAGTCCTACCAGACAATAGGGTTGCTCTCTCATTAGAGAGAAAGATGACTAATGGTGATTTAACCTGAAGGTCACCATGCCTCAGGTGAGGGAAGAGGTTGAGGAGGAGAGTTCTTCATGGTAATCACAGGAGATGCAGTAATGGAGCCCATGCAATTGGTGTTATTCTGAGTTGCAAGGCAGCCAACCGAGCTAACTGAACCTCTAATCAACATTACAAGATCATGGGAGGATAATTACAAATAAAATTTTAGAAGACACCATCAAGGTAAATATTAGCCCAGAGTTGTTCTAATATGTTGTGAAGTAGAGATTACACAGGAAATCACTATTTTGCTTTAGTGCCAAAGATGAGGTACACATGTATTTTTGTTATTATGTTTTGTACGTACGTTAGCTAATGATCAAATTTTCTTTCTTCAGCAGCAGGAGTAGCAGTGCCAGCAGCGCTGCAAGCATCAGCCTACCCAAACACTTGCCTTCATCCCCCCAAATCCACTCCTTAAATTCATCTACTCCAGTGCTGCCCCTATCTATTCCAAGCCTTGCTACCTCACACAATTTCTCCCTGAGGCCTCAGACTCACCCTCATCACCACGCCATGTTTGCAACACCAGCTACCTTACCACCACCACCTCCTTTAACGTCAAACAGCCTTGTTGTACCGGGTCACCCTGCAGGACCTGGCTATTCAGGTAGGTGCAGATTCTTATTCCCCAAAGTCTGAAGATTTTGTTGAGCTTTATCTGTAGGATACATCTGTCATGTAGGATCTTGTTAATATTTTCAATTCCTTTTGAATTCGTCAAAATGCCTATTTTATTTTAAGGGCAGTAATGTTTCACATCAGCTAGTCCTGAGTAAAATTGACTTTTTAAAGAAAAGTGAATGTTGTGTTTGTTCAGTTCAATTCCCAAGATAGAAATGGCTTTGAGAGATAAGGAAACACCATTGCATGAAGAAAATGTGGGAAGAGTCAAAATCAAAACATGAGATTTGTGCTTAGAGACAATAACCTAATGCTTTCAAAATTAGTATATTACTTTTAGAATTTAAGCACATTGGTCTTTTGATCATTATGAATCTCAAGTTGAAAAGCGGTACTGATAAAATCTGACCGCAGATGAACTGTTCTCCCTGATGACAGAAAATGTGTGCTGCATTTGAAGAAGACCCAAAGAACAAATAAATTGCTTAATTACAGTTCTGTGTTATAGATTTGAGTAGGAAAGGAAGGGGAAATTCTGATTCTGTGTACCTCCACTTTCAGCCTGGTTACTTGCTTACCCTTCTCCCAGCAAGACTAGCTTAATACAAAATCCTTGCTTCAGTCTACTTGAGTATTCAAATCCCCTCTGTATTTCATTGCCTGGAAACTTTGAATGATGTTTAACAGTCCTCAACAAGCTAGATATATTTCTGTACTATAACTGTCATGTTTAAATAATTATACTGACCACCACTGCAAAGAAGATCTTTTGGGGGAGTGTTAAGTAAAATCGTATCTGTCTTATTGTAACTTGTCAAAACCTGCCTGAAATTGTCAGTAACATCAGCCAAGACTATTGTATTGCTAATTGGCAAGAATATAGTGTTTCATCCCTTGAATTGTATTTGTATTTAATCATTCCATTTATTTTAACTCAAAGGATAATTATATTTCAGTCAGTAGTTTTTCAAATGTGTTTGTCTTATGGGGTAGCATAATTCAAAGTATTTTTTTTCTTGAAGTTGTATTGAATGTAATTGTCTGAAATTATATCAAGGGACATGCACTCATAAGAGCAGATAATGATTTTGTTTTGTTTTAAAACAAAGTTTTCAGCATACTGCTGATGTTGTCATGCTACCAGCAGTAAAGGTGATTGAGAGTATTTGTAAGTTTTGGCAGCTTAAACCTGAGCAAATGAGCTCTGAAATGCCTGTGTAAAAAGTAAATGTTTTTTGATTCCAAGCACACAATGTGCTTTTCCAGATTAAATGAATATCTAATGGTATCTTGCAAACGTGCTAACTATTTCAATGTCCAGTGGACATATTTCAAATAACAATATTGCTGTCTGCTCTTATGGAGACAAGTAGTGTGTTAGCTATCTCCATTAGAGGTAGACTATGTGTGTGTTTCTCATTTCCCCAGTTTGTTTTCTGCTGGGATGACTCATATGGTTCTCTTCTGTCTTTAGATACCAGCCTGTTGATATCATTCAACCAACCAATCATGTATTGTCAGCCTCAGTCGGGAATTCTGATTGGTGCTTTGTCACAGGCATCTCTGTTACCTCCACCAATGAGTCCTCACGTAGAAAACCACCACAGCATGACCTGCAGAAACAGGGAATGCCAGGTGAATATTTGGAATTTCTTTTTCCAACTGACTGGCCCACGGCCCTTGTGTTTCTTTTTTCTCTTCCAGAGCATGATCTGCTGAGGCAGGAGTTGAACAACCGCTTTTTGGTTCAGAGTTCCGACAGGGCAGGGTCGCTGGCCCCGCCACCATTCTTGACAGCAGAGTATCATCAGCATCAACACCAGCATCAGCACACGCATCAACACACACATCAGCACACGTTTGCTCCTTTTCCTGCGAGTCTGCCACCGACTCCACTCATGCCGCCCACTGCACCATCTATGGTGCATCCCCCAGGCAGAAAAGTGAGGATAAGTAGAGCATCTCTTGACTCCCCCCTCCCCTTACAAAAAAAAACTTCCGTCTCTTTTGCCATAGTGACCACGGGTTGGCTAATGTGGTTCTTAAAAAGAAAAATACCAGTGGCACTTATTTTTCTATTCTGAAATTCCTGTGCTATCTTTGGACCATACAACCATTTAAGGTGGAAGGTCACATATCAGTTTTGAGATTGTTTGTTTGTTTGTTTGTTTGTTTGTTTATATACATTCCAATAGAGTACTTTAGGCTTCAAACTATTAGCAGTCACCATCAATTATTATTTAAAGAAAATAGGATCCTATTAAGTTATTAATGTGCTGATTTAAAATATCCCAAACGGAGGACATTCAGAAGAAAAAATGTTTCAGAACTTGATGAGCAACAATAACTTGGATTTATATCATGCATTTAAAGTAGTAGAACATCCCAAAGTATCTGATAACGCTTTAAAGTGTTGTGTGGTCAAAAGATTAAGAAATTACAAATCCTTTCTAAACCTGTGAACACATTTTGTTTTGTGTTTTTTGCATGGATGTGGGTTTAAATTGAAGTGCACTAAACTTCAATTTATTGATTTTTTTTTTAATTCATCGATATAAAACAATTGAGTATGACCTTAAATATATGCTATGCAAGCATTGCGTACTTGCAAAAGCAAAATACCACAGTAGCCCAGTGTGGAAGAATGAAGTATAAATATATCCACCATGCTGTTTCTATATATATTTATTTCTGTGAACTGAAAATAGTAGGAGCTCGATAACGTCTGACACACAAACACTATTGCTTTTTTAACGCAGTTAGAGTTAAGAATGTATAATTAAAATCATTTAAGACCATATACCCATCGAATTTTGGTCATTAATATTCAACCAGTTATTGTTTCTTTACTTTGAACAGTGTTTGAAAACAGTTAACTTAATTTGTTCTAATTTACACACCGGCTTACCATAATGTTTGGGCAAACTGTATACATGTCTACTCATTTTAAGGAACAATTTCCAAATTTTCCGAAAAGAGATTATGAAGAGAAACATTTTAACTGCTTGTGGCAGAATGTGTTTTCAACTTTTTAATGCAAAAAAGTACCATGTGGTCTAATTACGGTCATAAAAAAATGTGTATAATCTACCTAGTGTATGTTTTTGTGATTAATGTTGTTTATGCTGACTAAGTGGCAGACATCTGGTAATGGCTATAATTAATGAAATTATGCATGTGTTCTGTATACATAGTTATTATATTCAGCAGCAGCTGCCATGCCAAATGGTTGTGTATGAAGACTTTCCATTTCTTAATGCCCCCTAATTGTTTAAAGATGAAATATGGTAAAAGTAATTATTAAAAGCTGTTTATCGACTTTTTTTAAAGAATTGTTAGTAGTTTGTGCCAAGTTAAAAATGATTTAGCAGCCAATATTGATCATTCATTAGTCTATTCCATTTGTACACCATGATCAGAAGATGTTTAATTTATTTTGGCAGCCTCACAATGACAGAGTGATTTAGATGTTAGGCAAAATAAATCTATTACAACTTGTTTTTTTGCTCTTCCTTTCAGTTTGAAAAGTATACACCAAAAATAGAAAATCCTTTCTATCGACATTCTAGTGTGAGTGTCCTTTTTTTTGAGAGCTAATTGTGCGTGTACTTCAGCTCGCACCTTTTTTTATATAAATGTTATCTTGATCAAGCATTTCATATGTTAAATTTGGTGTTTCTACTCTTGTGGTTTCCAGTGCATCTGCAGTTCATCAAATTAGCCTCAATTTGCATTTCTAACAGAAACTGACCAGATATAGATTAGGTGATTTTGAATTGTAAATTGAAGGCGCTATGTGCTTTCTACAGTCTCGCCCCTTGGGTTGCAAAAACCAAAATTTTGTCATTGCGCATCCCGGGCTTACTTGATTGATAGCAGAGGCATTATCTCACACATGCAAATCAAGTGTCTTCTTGTTCATGCTAGCAGTTTTAGTTTGAAAAATGTTACATGTTTCGAGCACTTTCCCATGGAATGCAGAAATAGATGGTTGTTTACTTGTTTAGATTACAAATACAAATAAAGGATGTAGTTGTCTAAAAACTATGTTACTGAATTGCACTTCTGTTTAATAAAGATATTTCACTGTATTGGGTTTCACTGAAGATGAAACTCTTAGGCATTTGGGGATAGTTGTCCTTCACAGACATGATGCAAGTTCACAGCAATAATTTAATTTGCTAATATAAAATTGAGGGATGATAGCAGGTGAAAACAAGCACAATGTACCATATCTTTTCTAGTCTTCAGTGAAGTTGAAAATGAAATATTAGATGCTTCAGGAAAAAGGCTTACTTGGGAGTCTTCCTGTAAAATTATTTTAATCTTGCCTTTTGTAGGGATACGTTGCAGACAGTTAAACACTTTGCCATGTTGACCAGTGAAGTGTCTATTTTATCTGTTACCTGATATAGTTTTTAGACAATAACGTGGTGTAACTAAATTGGTAAATGTGCTCTTAAGTAAAATGCATCTTCGAATTGTTTACAGTTTGCTTAAATGTGTAATGTTCATTATGTTACTGATTCTCATACAGAATCTAATTCTTCATATCTTGTTGATTTTAGTTCTTCCCACCATATGCTCCAACAGTGCCAGGCATGCCACCCATGATTCCACATTCAGGTCCTTTTGGGTCACTTCAGGGAGCATTTCAACCTAAGGTATGTAAATCTGTTCTGTAATTGCTAAAACTGACTTGTAAGATATTTCACTAATGACCATAAAAGCATGGGAATGAGAGACTGGCAATACCAGTTCTCCTTCCTTCCTGTCCCTTCCTCAATTTTAATATTAGTAAATCACACTACTGTTGAGTGTTGAAGATTTGTCATGACTGAGGCAGCTATCCTATAGTATTAAAGGAAAGTAGCAATGAATTGTACATTTACAATTATCAAACAGTTTATCTGCAGTTGAGCTTTGCTACATGCTTTCTGCATAAACTTTGTTAAGAAATGGGTACTGTAAACCTGCTGTGATTGATGTGGTTAACCTATGATTATACCAGGATCAGTAAGCACAGCATTTTCTAGGCACAAAACTGGGGGAGGGGTGGAGAATGTATCTGTCAGAAGGAGACCAGTTTGATCTGCAAACTTCCACATAATTTACATGCCAACTTCAGTAGATGAGGAGGCCCGGAGGGTAAACTGCAGAAGGTTAATAATACTTGACCCATCTTTGGAGTCAAAAATCCTGTGGCTGATGCATTATAATGGTAGGAACCATTTCAAATGAGCAAATTACCTTGTTCTGTAGAGCAGATGATTTTTTTTTTGCCCTAAAGGCCTAACTTGCATTTGCTCATGCTGACTGAGCACAATGCCTTTCACTGGGCTGCCATGATCTGTCAGGGTTATTAAGTTCGCCTGGGTCGGCGCTGCTGAGTGCTCCTCCATTTTTCAGACTGAAGCGTCTGTCACTGAGGTAGGGAGAGACAGATTACCTCAGTCAATTTCACTGTCGTCGTACTCCACTTTGCTGAGCTGGGAGCCAGTTAGAGGTATAACAGGTTATTCATTATCTGACTGTCGTAGTGTAGGCAAATGGCAATTTCATGGCAACCATGTAGTATCCTTAATTCAAGGTCACAAGAAACAGAACATGATGAAACTTAAATTTTTCAGCAGTGTGTGATGAGTGTTGAAACTTTCAAAAATGCTTTCTTCCAATTTTGAAATAACATCTTATAGAATAGTAAATTTAAGCATCCAGCCACAGTATCGTCTTGGCAATCTGCAGAATGAGCACTGTCATCTATTAATGTACTACACAAAGAATAATTACCTGAGAGCGCAATGCAGAGTTGTAACTCAGTCAAGCACTTAAATGACATCACACCTTATAAAGTAATGCTTAAGCTCTTCAATGCTTTGAGTAAATTCTAAAAAAAACCTTAGTTGAAATATTTCTCTTGGCTGTGACATTTGAATATTTCAGTTTTTGTGTCTTTAGGGTTGTGGTGTGAAATGTCCTTTAATCAGTTTTGCAACATAAGTTTCTTATACCTTGAATGTTATGTACAGACTGATGATGAAAAAGAAGAATGAATTGCTTTCTATCTTGCCGTTAACAACCTCAAGATATCCCAAAGCACTTCACAGCTAATTAAGTAGTTCTCAAGTCCGTCTCTGTTAAAATATTTTGGTTTCTGTTTGCACAATTTTTGTGCGTGTGTGTTACCACATGTGTTCTTGACTAATTATGAGTTAATATTTTGTATGTCCCTTTTAGCAGTCTTGAGTTTTTCAGGAATAATACCTGAAATGGCATTCATAACTGTTAGCACAGTTTTGACAGTTTCCCATGAATGTTCTAATTTTAAAGGTTTTAGCAATAAAGGCCATCTCAATACTATAGCACTGTTTTCATGCAAGAGTGAAATCAAGACCTGGATTTTTGTATCAGATCACAAGGAAAAGGAACAGCATAAGGACATTTGGCGTATCGAGACTGCACTGCCAATTAATGAGTTCACAGCTAATCTGTTTGCTGTCTCAAATCTACTTTCCTGCAAGCATCAACCACCACCATCACCAATCCACACTCCTGCGCTGGTCTCCTTTGTGGATTAAAAATCTGTTTCACTCAATATTGAAGACATTCAATGACCACTCCACTCTTCTCTGCGGAAGAGAGTTCCAAAGATTAGCAATTGAGAGAATAAATTCTTCCTCATCTCTGACTTCAGCAGGAGTCCCCTTAATTTGAAGTTGTGCTGTCTACTTCCAGATTGTCCCTCGAGATGAAACATCCTTTCAGCATTTAGGGTGGGTGCTGACCTGAAAGCAACTTTCCCACAAATATCCAGTGATTTCTAGGACCTTCTCCCTTGCCTAACAACAACGCCTAAAACCAAGTCAAGAACCTTAAGGAGGATCACTGGAACTGAAACGTTTATTCTGCTTTCTCTGCAGATGCTGCCAGATCTGCTGAGTTTTTCCAGCAATTCTGTTTTTTTAAGGAGAAATCTTGGCCTCTGGTACCAGTGATTTTGGCAAGTAATAAGGGCCCAGTCACATTGAAATGATCACATACAGCAAGGGAGGTTAAAAGTATTTAACATCTTTCAGATTTGATTAAAATTTTCGGATTGTAAAACAATTATAATTGAATTAACGTAAAAGTTGAAATAAAGATAAACTTTGTAAGAGAAATAAAACTTTTTTAAAGTATCTAGGATTTTTAATCACTATAGAAAGATTTGACATACCACAAATATAAAATTAGTTTTGGGACCATTGGGATGTTTTGCAGTAATTATGAAATTATGACATCATTGAAAGCCTAGTTACACCTCATTCAACAAGGTTTAACTTCTTAAAGGGTTTTTACACAAGACTAACACCCTAAAAGTAGACTTTTTCAGCAATTCCTATAAGGGAGTGCAATCTGTAAGAACCATAACAACCACACCCTTTGGAGAAGTGCAAAATCACTGGCAGCAACTTCTGGATTTCTGCATTATTCTGTGAATCTTCAGACTCCAAAGGTTTCTGTCAATTTCAGTGAGATAGTGACTGTGATAATTTTGTTGGAATTGGCCCAGCTAAATCTGACTTATTAAAAGCAGGTTGGTTGAATCATTTTTAAGGAATTCCTTCTCTACCTGAGCTATTCTGTGACATGAAGGACTGGAGGCTGCTAAGTTAACTCCCTTTCATCCACCTCCTTGGAAAAGTGACTGACCTCAGCAGCCAGATAAGAGGCACAGCCAAAGTTAAGAACTTTTATATTTAAAGGACACATAGATATCTCCTCATACATTTTTGCAGTTCAGTGTAATCATCTCAGAATCTAGTACCCTCATGTTTGAGTTACTAAAACAGCTACAGAAACTATTCATTTTTCATAAATTCAGAAATTTCTTGGCCCGGTGGCTTTTCCATGATTTTGTGGCCTTTTCATTGCACTGTAGTAATTTCAGTGGACCAGACCACTTTTCATTAATTATATGAATGCGGTGTTGTCTTTCCCCAGACTTCCAATCCAATTGATGTAGCAAGCAGGCAAGGAGCAGTTCCTCACACTCTACTCCAGAAGGACCCCAGGGTAAATGAACTAATAACTTTCAACCCTGAAATCTTCAGTCAGGACCTCATTACATACATGTTGAATTTTCACTTTAGTGTAGATAAACTGCACAGCTCCAGAGTTCCTTACACCATCTAATATATTTTTGATTTACCTTACAACTTTGTTCTTGACTGCTTGTGTAGATGTCTGTCTCACAGAATCTAAAAGATTCTCACTGTTAATACTATTCCAAGCTCATTTCTATCAAGTGCTGTCTGAGCTTGTTAAATTTATCCTCTCCCTTCCTATTTTAAATGAGCTGCTTCATAACATCTTGATGTGGCATTTTTCATTAAAAATCACTCCCTTGAAAGATGGCATCTTAGCAACAGTGTTTAAGAAAACTGTCTGATACTGGCTGCACAACAAGTTGAAATCCAGAAAAAAGACCAGGCTTAATCATTGAATCTATTAAATCTTTGTTTATTAGCCCTTTATCTAACTTTGGTCCCTAAAAATCCTCATTCTGTCATTGTCATAACAATGACTTCATCCTGTATGAATCCATATTGCTAATTAACAAAACAACATAAGCAGAATCGGAAACCAAATTTGGTTTCCATGGCTCTTTGCTGTCCATTTTTGTTTAAAGGGCTAGGTTCTATTAAAATATAACCCGAGTCCCTGAATTTGACCCATTTATACTGTGACATTAATTCAGTCTCAGTAGATACCTAATCAAATGTAAGATTCAAACATATCCAGAAGACGCAGAGCCCTGACTTCCAGTTTGGTCAGAATTTGCCAACAGTAGCAAAAGGTCATTGTAAATCAGTAACGTGTATATCATAAGATATAAATCTACCCTCCAGTCACAAAACTGGCAACTGCTAGTCAACATTGATCAATTTACGACTGAGAAGTCCTCCTGTGTGACATCTTGCAGCTTTCAACAGTTTTGTTTACAGGGTTGTTTCTGATGCATTTTCTGAATTGAGTAAAAATTGAGTGAGATATTACATTCAAGGTCAATTGTTTAGATTTATCTAATATTAACCCGTATCTTGATTTGAAAATGAATGTATACAAAATAATAGATGTTTTTGAATTTCAAGAATTGGCAGATATTTCAAGCGGCAAGAGTTTCATTTGACTCAGACCGTCACTTCTACTTCTCTCTTCACTGCTGCCAGACCTGCTCAGTATTTCCAACTCTTCTGTTTTTATATTAAGCAGTGACCTTTTTAATGGCTTTCAAGTTTATGTTGTGATCTTGATAAATCACAGTCCTGCAAGCCATTTTCGGAGTTACAAAAAACTTTCAAACCCAGTAAGATTCTTATAATCTGAAAGGATCATGAAAAGATAGGATTTGCTTTTATTTGGTGGCTTTCATAACCTCATCATCCCAGTCTGTACTACAGTCAGTTAAGTACTTCCAAATATGTAGTTACTGTTGTAATGTAGGAAACATGCTGATGTGGAAGTTGCCATTTCGGCGTGGAAGGGTTATAATGAATATGAATAGTATTAATATTCCATTTCACTACATGGAGAAAACCAATTGAAGTGTTATGCCTTTTGAGTTCATGAAAAAATGCGGAGTTGATTTCAATATATTTGAAAGGCTATTTTGTTCTAGAATATTTAAACTGAAAAAAATGTTTTTATGTTGACATTCTGATGGGGACAATAGATATAATTGCAAGACAAATTGAGTTAAAGCTTTGTTAATGCTGATTGTTGAAAATGTTCATTTTTCCAATAAATAAGCCAAATAACACAGTCATGAAGACAGAACTTGTTCCACCCAGGCAGGGAATTAAGGAAGCCGTTTGTGGTACCTGACTCTGAAATCAGCTTGTAGCATTTACCACTGCAGAGCTCAGTCAGTGCAATAGCTGAGATGTTTTGTTCCATGCACACAGTGGTGTATTTGTATAACAAAATATACAAACCTAAAAATCAAATGAAAAGTGAAATCTATTTTGTAATCCATGAAGATGGGCTAATTCAAAATGAATTAGGATGATTAAATGAATGCTATGCCAAGAATAATCACAGTAACTTCTTGAGCACAACATTTTGCTCATTTTTCAAAAAGTGACTATTGATCGTGTGCAGAGTAATATATAGCCACAATGCACTATATATTTTGGCTGATGAAGATGATTAGCAGCGACTTCTTTGTAAAATGTTTACATTAAATACCCTGTTACTAATGGTGACATGAATATATGAAGGTTTTTTCGAAAAAGTGAATTCCATGTAACCGAAGAATTCTTTGAAATCGCCACTGAATGATTACGTTTGGGTGAGATTATTGTATTAGACACTGATCAAAATCTTATTCATTTATCCAAGATGGTTTTTACATTGTCAGTTCCCATTATAATTTTGCTTCTATTAATATAATTGTGCAACTTTTCTGTCTTTTCTAGCAGTTGTCAGACCCATACAGACAGTCAATAAGAGTAAGTGAGATCTACTTTTTGTAATAGTGAATTATTTTACAAATAAATCTTACACTTTATTAATTTGATTTGTTTTTATTCCAAAACATCTTATTTATAATAGAATCTATAGACATATGCACAATGCAAGTCATAAGTTCTTTTACTGCCATTGTTTATAACTAATTTTAAATTTTTGTCTAAATTTCAAGTGGGCAGCTCAAGCTTTATGGTTCAAAAGAAACAGGGTTTATTTTTCTTTTCTCCATCTGCATGGGAGTTTGTCTGGCCTGTGCTTCATAGCTGCAGAACCTTTACATATGATTTTTGACACATTTCTTTTCATGTTGGACAAATTTTAATTAGATACAGCTCTGGGGGAAGTGTGGACTGTTGGAAAATGTTAAAGAAAAAAGAGAGTAATTTTGAGACTAAGTTTTTTAAAAAGTTAATTCAGTTTGTAGATAACCTGAATTGTTGAATCAGATCTTTAATGATTCCAACTGATGAGACATAAGCTTAGGAAAAGTTCTGAAGTATGAAAATCATATTGATTTATTTACTTCTAAACTGACCGTGGTGTTGCTAATTCAGTCACAAGTGTAAAGAACTGGCAAGTTTAAATTATTTCTGAACATTCTAAAGAAGACAACTCTTCTGTTTTTTGAAAGCTGTGGTAAATGTATAAATAAAATTAAAGATGACTGTGTTTGCGCTGGTGGGTTGTGCAGTTGCAACAATGTGTATTTCTGTACATATTATTTTGTAGATGTAATTCAGTGCTTTGGAGCAAGTTTAACGTAGTGCTGGTTTTTCCCTCCGTAATGCTGTAAATGGATAAACATGGCAAGTGTGTTCATATTTAAAATTATTACAGAATGTTCAAAAATCATAGATTCATAATTCTTTGTGCCTGTTGGCATAGTTCCAACCAAATAAATTATATAAACTTTACTGAACCTGTCCTATCTCCTTTCTGTGATCTATACTGGGGCCCATTTTCAAATCTTATTAGCTTTTTGTCATCATTTGAGAGTTTATGTGGTTACCCACACATCAGAAGGTTTATTCCTGTAGTGATACTTTCATTACGAATACAACATTTCTTTGAAACATGTTGAAGTTCCTTCACTGTCTGGCAACATGAGAAATAAAGGAATTATCGCAAAGTTCTGGCTTCAAAAATCGTTGTGCTCCAGCAAGGCTTTCTATCTTCCCTCTGAACACTTCTTTGCAGACTACAATGGAAGGTCAAGGGGAAAACTTATGGATCACTTGTTTTTAAAAAAAATCAAGACATCTATTTTTGACGTGGTTTCATCCATGAAGAGTTTATTGTTTCATTTGTGTTTACTGTTTTCTTCCAGCTCCCACTCAAAAGGGTAAATCTACCTCAAAAACCAATGGGCGTAAGTATACCTTGAGTAAAAGTATTAATTGAGACCCTAGCTTGCCTGGGGATGAGTCCTGGCCCAGGGATTCCATTTCATAGAAGTCAGGTTAAAGGCTGTCCTGGAACTATTTTGCCTCTTTGTTTTTGGATTTCCAGAAAAAATTCTTCAAATAGCATCCTTCACTAGAAAGTTTGCTGGACTTGATAGCTAGACCTTGAATTTGATTGCACCAAGCATTTTTGTGGTCACAACTTCAGGCTCTTTGTGGCATTTCCAAATGAGCCAGCTAGCTCTTTGGTCACCTGAAGATCTAATTCATCTTTTCTTCACCTCTTAATTGCCAGAGAACTAATGATAGAAGCTTGGAATACATACAGTTCTGACCACTATTATCTTCTGTATTCTTAAGCTTGACCTATTCCCGAGTTGCTCCCTATTCAGTCACGGATAGCCAGTTATCCTGCTGAATGCTACTTGTATTGTTCTCCAAATATACTCGTCAACTTTTTTTTCCTTTTTGACGGGGCCAGGGTGGGATAAAAGAGTTGGTTCACAGTTGTTGGCTTCTCTGGCTGGTTTATGTACCCTCTTGGGCCATGATTAAGAAAAGTGAACCATTTATTTTTCTTTTCCCCCTCCACCCCCACAGAAATGGAAGCAGATTGTCATAACAGTAGATTGACCAGATCTCGCTACTTCAATACCCAAGTAATTCGCCATTATTTATACGTAGACACCTTTACAATCATGATGTTTATCAGCAGGGAGATTCGGATTACTTCAACCAATACGGAATTTGTTAACAAAAACAGAAATTGCTGAGAGAGCTCAACAGGTTTGGCAGCATCTGTGAAGAGAAATCAGAGTTAACGTTTTGAGTCCTTTGTCCCTTCCTCAGAATTTGTTCGTGATGGTAAGCACTGAATGGTCTACCGTCATCCATTGCCAGTGGGTAAGCACTTAGTGCACCCTTGCTACTGTATTTGGTGAACAAGATATTGTGGGGTTCAGGAGGTGTAGCAAATAAGTAGTATGCTTAAGACTAGTATTTAGTTTTGCACAGAAATCCGTTGCCCTATGCTGGTTAGTGCTGTTGATCTGGAAATAACATTGATGGCTTGGCTCTCAATAAGAGAGACAGCTCGGCTGTGTACTGTAATAACTTGGCTGCCTTATCTGACGTAGACACGTGCACAGACTTCATTTTCATTTCATGCCAGACCTGGTATCCAAATATCTTTGGAATCGTGAGGTAATCATTCTTTAATTCGATGCCCTCAAGTATGAAGGAGAGCTAAGATTCTACCTTATGGGTGCATGGATAACAGTCTGCTGCTGTACACATTGGAAATTCAGTCAACTGTGAAGACAAGACATTGGGTCAGTTTATCAGAAAACAAGGAACGGATATGCAGGTTGTGGAATATGTCCCACTAGTATTAACCTCCTATTCCATCTCAAAATAAATTTCATCCCCGTAAGAAAAATCAAGGGTCATTCAAGAAGAACTGTACCCAAATAAGTATTAATTTTGAGAAAGTTAATCATGGTGCCTGGAAAGTAGCTACAATAGCCTGCGTGTAATATTAGTGTTGCATTTTGGACCTGCTTTTCATGAGATGTAGTCATGACATGATAGGGTCGTTTTGGAATCTGCTGTAGTTCTTAGTCAGATTCTTCTCGTTCAGGAGGAATATGTCAAAATAAGCTGTGGCATGAGCAGAAGATTGTTCACCACAAGTGTAGTAATTCTTATGCTTCAAGTACTCTTTTGCATAACAAATTTCTACCGCCCGGATTAGGGAGGGTTCTCTTGATTAGGCTTCTTTCTCTCATTGTGGAAAATAAGCAATCTCTTGCAGAAAATGAAGAACAGAGAACATACCTCTTCAGTTTCCAATTCAGCCGGAATTCAAATTGTTATGGTTTCTTCAAATAAAAGTAGTGCTTTTATAAAATCAAAACTGTATTGTCATCTACATGGGTCATCTTGGCATTCTGCTCCCAAATGCAGGGGCCGTAAGCCAGTCCAAATCTAATGTGTAAGGAGCATTCTATCTCCTGATTATGTATTCTTGTTCTGATGTACACTTGTTTATTTGTTGAATTAAAAGCAGCTCCTGCCATAAGATTGAAAATAATTTTTTCATTCATGCTGTCTCAACTCATATCAAATATTTGCTTCAAACTTTGCAACATATATATTTGGGAACACACCATTTAAAAGGCTTTTGAATTCTTATTAGGTGCTTTGCATCTTGTTTCAATAAGCCTATAAATTTGCATGTTTTCGTTACTGCAGTTGAAACGTGTCTACTAAGGTGTATTGTGTCTTGTCTTACAGAAACCTGGGAAATGGTGTGCCGTTCATGTGCAGATTGCCTGGCAAATCTACCATCACCAGCAAAAACTAAAGGTATTAAAAAAAAAAACAAGCCTTCACAATCCCAGATTTGACTAATTTTGTTTTCACTTTTTTTGGGAAAAAGTATTTTAAATGTCAGTTTAAGTGAAAATTTATTATGCTGTTTTTCTTTATGGGATGCGGGCATCGCTGGCAAGGCCAGCATTATTTTTACATTGCTGATTGCCCTTGAACTGAGTAACATTGAGAGATCAGTTCAGCAGGCAGCTAAGAATGAACTACATTGCCACGAGTCTGTAGATGTATGTAAGTTAGACCAAGTAAGGAGAATAGATTTCATTCCCTAAAGGACATTAGTGAATCAGATAGGTTTTACAACAATTAATAGCTTCATGGTCAACCTTACTGAGGATAGCTTTCAATTGACATTGTTAATTGAATTTGAACTCCATCAGCTGTCATTGTAGAATTTGAGCCCATGGTTCCATAGCATTAGCCTGGACCTCCAGATTACTAATCCATCATATAATCAAATATAATCAACATCAGAAGCTGCCATGTATGTGAACCATTTAGAGTTGCACCTCCTGCCTCTTTGCTCACTGTCTTCCCCTCCCATGCACAGCAACAGTGAGCGACCTTTGTTGTTAAACAATTCTGTCTAAAATTATGAGCTGAAGTTTCCTTTTGGAAGTGTTCTCAATTGACAGGAGATCAGCAGGAATACTGTATATTAAAAATTAATGGTGAGGAGTTGGAGAGTTTGTCAAATCCCGAAAGAATTTCCCAGCCCATACCTCCCATTTTATCAACACAGAAAGCATTTTCAGCCAGTTTATGTTGTGAAGTAATTGTTACTTCTGGTGCATGATATTGAAGATATTTGTTCTATTTTAAAGCAACAAATGCCAATGGACCATCACAAACTCGAAATAGGGGGCAAGCTGGACCTGTTTAGTCGACCACCTGCACCTGGAATATTTCCTGGATTCTCATATCCACATGACCTGGCCAGACCCCTCTTCTCAACCACAGGTATGTTATCTGGTGATATGAAATGTTGATTTCCTCTTCTCTTTGTTTATACTTCATTCAGGCTGAAACTCATTGGAATGTAGAACAATAGAGATGATTTAATTGGGACATATAAAATTTGTAAGGGAATTGGCAGGGTAGATGCTTAGAAAATGCTTCCCCTGACCAGGCATCTACAGCACAGGGAGACAGTTTCAAAATAAGGGATTGGCCATTAGAACTGAGATGAAAGCTCTTCACTCAGTTCGGTCTTTGTAATTTTGTACCCCCTGAGAGCAATGGATATTCATTTGCTGAGTATATTCGAAACAGAGGTTAATAGATTTTTGGGTGGCAAAGAGAATTCAAGGATAGGGGAAGAATGTGGGATGGTGGAATTGTGGTAAAATATCAGCCATGATCTTTGTTGATTGGCAGAGCAGTTTTGAATGCATTTTGGGTTTTTTTTCACCCAATCATAACTACCCAGCACCCAAGAAAATGGATTAGTGCATTTATCTTTCTACCAGAAGGATGGCAAGTTGCAATCTGGGAATGGAGTTTTTTGGGTTTTTCATCGCTCCTATTCGTAAAGCACTTGCTGATTTTATTGTCTGACAAAAAACTGAGATCAGCAACTTTTTTAGGAAGCCTGTTTGCTAAATGTTGCATCCAAACTAGATGATTGAACGTGTGGAGTTTATTTAGTGCTTGAGGTCCCACAGCATTGCCACGGTCCTGGTTTTAAGATCCACCTGTGCTTGACACTTCAATTCACTCCAGACATGCTTGTAATTGTCATCTTTAGTTTTTGGTTCAACCACTTAGCAAATGAGAATCAATCTAACTTCATCTTTTCCTGATCTTATTCACGACAGTATAATATGTATATTAATTTTATACCTTGGTCTGAGTTAAATCTGTAAACATTTATGAATGTCTAGATTAAAGCTGATTTAATTTAAAATAATGAGCTGTTCTTACTCAGCTGTTGGCTGCTATCTTGCATAGATTGGCAATTTATCCAGAATTTCACTGCACTAGGTTCCATTTGCCTTTCAGTCTGACACCAAACGCAACTAATTCAAGATCGTCTTCTGAGCACCTTTGCCCTAGCACTATCTCTATAGTCCCCCTTCGGCCCTTTCCACTAATAACTAAGCCTTCTTCCATTTTGGCCCTACTCTCCTGAATTTCCTAACCCCCTCCATCTTACTACTTATCACTTCTTTCAATCATCTCTCCTAAAGTATTTATCACTGTTTGCCAGTTAGAAGCATCTCAGGTGCTTACTACACTAAAGCCATGATGACACAGATACAGTTCACTGGATATTTGATGAGGGTTTCCTGAAAGTCAAAATATATCAATTCAAAACGTTAACTAAATTGCCATCAGATGAAATGTTCACTGAGTAAGTATTGTTTTTATCTCCCTTCTGCTGACACGTTAAAAAGCACCTTACTCCTTCCAGGCACTGCAGGTGTGCTGATATTTTTGGTAACCCAGTAGGTATGTGTTATCTTTGACTAGCTGTCCACAAGACAGATGGTTGGCTGCCCAGCCAACACTGTGTTCGATAATGTACTGCCACTTTGCAGCATTTCCTTTTGTTTCTCTGGTGGATCTTCATTATCGCCTTGCTGGTATCCTGTGCGTTACAAAAGTTTGTAAGCAATCTCATTTAAAACCTGTCACTAGGGTTCTGATCTGTTAGATGTGTCCTGAGATCTTGATGGATTGGAAAATGACAGTCTCCATCAGTCATGTGGAAGGAGAGTAAAAGATATGTTTCAATGGATTTCCATTTTAACAGAAAGCTGCCTCCTGGGTTGATGATATAGTAATAATTTGAACTATATGTACGTGTTCACTGAAAAAGCCCTATGTATCTCTATTCTCTGATGACTTGTTAACAGTATTGATGGATTGTTGCTTTCAGCTTTTCTTGACTCCTTTATCCTTCATTTAACTGGCTTTTTTTTTTGTCCTTTCCTTGTAGGTAATGCACATCCAGCTGCAACCACCTTTGGACCTCCACCTCATCACCACAGCAGCTATTTACCCACTGGTCACCTGGCAGGTGAGAACTTTGGGGTGGGGAAAGGGGGTGAATGAGAGGATGTGCACATATATAGTTTGACAAAGCAAATGCTCACATCGCACTTAGTCACAGCTCAATAAGATTATGATCAGCCTTTCTTTCCCTTAGCTGCTTTCCTTTCCAGAAGGGATAATATCTATAGTATCTATTGCAATTCATGGGATACGTTGTCAGGCTGGTTGCAGTATTGTGTGATACCACTGCTATTTCCTGCTTTTAATAACAAGGGCTCCACTAGCATTTCAACATGAATTTACAAGGTGCCAGTTCACTCTTTTGTAGCCTCCAGATCCACTTCTTAGACTTGAAACCAACTCTGCTGTTTTATTTTTGAAAAAAATAGGCTTATTTCACTTACATGGAAAACACTGCATGTAAGACACTGCAGCCTGAAGTCAACAACTAAGTAGAATCTTGTCTGGTTTGGCTCCCTCTGTCTATCAACACTCGAGTGTTCATTGATATAGTTGAATGAATAAGTTTTATCAACAATTGCAGAGGACTGAAGGGTCTGGAGCTGAGTAGCCTTGACAGAACCCAAAATGAGCATCTCTGTGAATTATTGCTGAGTAAGTGTTGCTTAATGGCACTGTCACAGATGCTTTTGCTTACTTTACTGGTGATCAGGAGTAGGATTACGGGATGGTAATTGGCTAGATTGGATTTGCCTTCCTTTTAGCAAACTGACATAACTGCGTAATTTTCCATGTTGTTGAACAGATGCCAGTGTTGGAGCTGTGCTGCAGCAGTTTGACCATGGGAATGACCAGTTCTGCAACACGAGCTTTTTTCCATGTCTGAGTGAAATGAGTCCTTCTTGATCCCTGAATGTAACCTCACTGTCAACGTGCGCTAGTTCGAAACCTGCAGCAAGACTGGGCTATAGTTCTCAAACTCTTTTGTTGAGGGATCCCTTTTCAAATAGATAAGCAGTCTCAGATTCTCCCAACCTCTCGTCCAACATTTTTAATGGTCACAGTTTGAAAGTGTTGTGCATAAAAAGTTCTCTAAAAGTGCCTTTAAGAGAATATAATTTTTTTCCTGAGATTAGTGAGATGGATATGGCCATTTCTTTCTGTAGGGCTTGTCTTAATTTGGCATGATGTTTGACAATGATACTTGTAAATCTTTCTCCACTTTAAGTGGGCTTCTGCATTTTGTCTTCCCAACTTTAGTGAAAACAGTGCCCTTTTAAATTTAAGTAAGTAGTACTTAAATGTTTCATTTTAATTTCCCGTTTCTTCACTGATGTTGAACTCACTACCATCCTTGGTAATTATAGATCTGCAATCCTTAAGACATAGCATTGCTGCGCATTCTTTTCTGTCTTTGCTGAGATGAAATCAACTCTGTGCTACATATGTGACAGCCACACTGCTGTTCCCTTCCAGCTCACACCAATTCTTGTTTCAACTGCCAATCAGTTGCTTACCACTGTCCACAGTGCCTTGAATGATTGCCCTTGTCCCTGCCTGAAAGGCTGGCCTTGCTTAGTTAGCCTTCTCATATTATTCCATAGACTCTTCTAGAAAGTCTCTCTGGACCTCATTTTGAGAAGCACTAGAAAAGGTTATATCTTCCAGGAAAAAAACATTTTCGAATGAGCAATACTTTATCATCATCTGGCCAGTACTTTCCTGATGCTGCAGAGTGTTTGGGTGCTGGGACGGTACCAGAACAAGAAGGTTTGAATGTCTCATCTGTCGGAAGGCAGTGAGAACCAATCAGTGCATTGCTACAATCTTGCCCCGATAAAGGAAATGACATGCATTGAAAATTACGAATTTCTACATCTCCATACAACAATGCTGCAAATTGCTCCTTTGCAGTCATTCTAAAAATATTTGTTTGTTACAATACATGGAGAAATGAGAGAATGCCATTTACCATTGCCTTGCATTTTGCCATTTACCTTAATAACCTTATAAAAAGGTCACATTAATTCATATTTTCATATTTTAATTCCCAAACAGCTATCCAGAAGGTGCTGCTACCTTATTAGTTATGCTATTTCTTTAACATACTTAAGCTGATTCCGGAGTTCATGGGTTATTTTAATGTACTGAACCACGCACATAAAGCAATTTCCTAGAGATTTTCCTGAACTAGCAATTGGTTTGTTTTCCTTTTTTATTTTCTGCTCTAAAGGTGAGTCTGAAGCCCAAGAGTTGGCACTATGCCAGGGTGGATCTGCCCTTTTCACACATTTGTCTTGCAAACAAGCCAAGTTCATGTAAAATTTAAAGGTTAGCCAAACACAAATATTGCAACGTGTTTAAGATTCAAGGAATTGAGAAGACAACTAGTTAATGACATGCTGGAAAAAATTGTTGTCTCATGTTAGATTTTAATAAGGTCAGAAGTCATATGACACCAGCTTATAGTCCAATAGATTTATTTGAAATCACAAGGTTTCGGAGTGCTGCACCTTTGTCAGGTAAAGTAAAGAGACACACACAGGCACAGGTCATCCTAGGTCATCCCTTCACTTGCTGTTTAGCTAGTGACACTTTACTCACACCATCTCACATTTTTGGTCACCTGCAGCGACTTGTTATTCAGCCAGTCGACACTCCACTCTCAACATTGTATGACCTTTTGTCCGGCCCAGGCCAATGCCGGCACCTCCACATCACAGATTTCAATAAGAACTAGGAATAGACGTAGGTAATTCAGCCCCTTAAGCCTGCTCCACCAGTCAGCAAGATTATGACTGATCTGTTTACTCCACATTTCCACCACTCCAGTAACCTTTCACTCCCTTGTTATCATGAATCTATCTACCTCTATTTTAAAAATATTTGTACTCTGCTTCCGAGATAGTAAGAACTGCCGATGCTGGAGAATCTGAGACAACCAGGTGTAGAGCTGGATGAACACAGCAGGCCAAGCAGCATCAGAAGAGCAGGAAAGCTGACGTTTCAGGTCTAGACCCTTCTTCAGAAATGGGGGAGGGGAAGAGGATACTGAAATAAATAGGGAGAAAGGGGGAGGCAGATAGAAGATGGATAAAGGAGAAGATAGGTGGAGAGGAGACAGACAGGTCAAGGAGGCGGGGTTGGAGCCAGTAAAGGTGAGTGTAGGTGGGGAGTTAGGGAGGGAATAGGTCGGTCCAGGGAGGACAGATAGGTCAAGGAGGCGGGATAAGGCTAGTAGGTAGGAGATGGGGCTGGGGCTTGGGCTTGAGGTGGGAGGAGTGGACTAACCTGTCCGCCCACCTCAAGCCCCACCCCCATCTCCTACCTACTAGCCTCATCCCTCCTCCTTGACCTGTCCATCCTCCCTGGACCGACCTATCCCCTCCCTACCTCCCCATCTACACTCCCCTTTACTGGCTCCAACCCCACCTCCTTGACCTGTCTGTCTCCTCTTCACGTATCTTCTCCTTTACCTATCTTCTCCTTTACCTATCTTCTATCCGCCTCCCCCTTTCTCCCTATTTATTTCAGTATCCTCTTCCCCTCCCCCATTTCTGAAGAAGGGTCTAGACCTGAAACGTCAGCTTTCCGGCTCCTCTGATGCTGCTTAGCCTGCTGTGTTCATCCAGCTCTACACATTGTTGTCTCTTATACTCTGCTTCCAGCGTCTTTTCAGGAAGCGTTCCAAAGGCATTCAACCCTTTGTTAAAAAAGGTTTCTTCTTATCTCTCTCTCTCTCTCTCTCAAATAGGTGATCCCTTACTATTAAACAATGACTTTCAATTCTCGGTTCTACCATGTGAGGAAATATCGTTTCCACGTCCACCATGTAAAGACCTCTCAGGATCTCTAATGTTTGAATCCAGTTGCATCTTACTCTTCTAAACACCAACGGATACAAGCCTGGCCTGTCCAATTTTCCCTCCTAAGACACTGCCCATTCCGGGTATTAGTCTAGATAACCTTTAATGAACTTACATTGGTAACGAAGCTAGCCATAGCTCTTCAGTTAACTTTACAATTGAAGCCCCTCTAATACTTCACCTGAGTAATGTCTCAAGATTTGGAAAGTAATGTATATCTTTCAGCTGCTTTTTTCCAAATAATTTAATCATTCTAACTTATTGCATGTGCTATTATGTATAAATAAAGTAGCAATGTGAACCATTGTGCAAAACAATAAATATATTGTTAATCTTTATTCAGGTTTATTACGGATGATTGTGACATCCTAACATTGCTGACTGAAGAAAGGGCAGGACTGTGTTCAAAATTTCTGAATACAGGGTGTTCAAGAAAGATAAGAAAACAAGAAGGGTTGGCAGAATTGGTTGAGATGATTGCAGTGCTAAAAAAAGAGGATGTCTGTGAGGATTCGAGGACTAATTGATTTGGCTACAAATTGATAAGGAACCAGAAGGTGCAAGAACATTGGTCGTTGTAGTCTACAGGCTGGTGGGAAAGATGTAGAGGAAAATCTGAAAGGAAATTAGAGTTGTGCAAGCATGATAGAGCAGATATAATGAAGGAATTTAAATACCCAAGTACAGGCTCAGATAGTGATTGCATTAAGGTCATGGGAGAAAGCGTTCTTAGATTGCGTTCAGGAAAATTTTCTAAAGCTGTATATGTACAGTCCAACACAGTTCTCTGGAGCAAGGTGGAACAAATTGTTCAACGTTTAGGGTAAAGTGATTATTGTATCATAATGTTTAGGATGATAATGGAAAGGGGAATGGGCAAGACAGAACTGAACCAGACAGACCGGAGTAGAAGGTTGGCAGGAAAGCCTTTAAGTGAACACTGGGCTACCTTTAAAGGAGAGATGGTTCGGAAACAGTCAAGATATATTTCCCCAAAAGGAAAAGATAGGTCAAATAAATCCAAAACGTTCCTAGATGAAAGATAGAGGTTACAATTAAGGTAAAATAAGGCATGCACTGACAATTGTCAAATAGCAGATACAAATGAGAACCAAGCTGAATGCAGAAACCTCCAGAGAAGTGAAAAAGCAAATAAGAGAAGCAAAGAAAGAACATGGAAAAAAAAAGACTGGCAGTTAATACAAAGGGAAATCCGAAGTCTTCTTTCGGCACAGTAAAAATCATAGAGTCATACAGCACAGAAGCAGACCCTTTTGGTCCAACCAACCTGTGCTGACCATAATCCCAAGCTAAACTAGTACCACCTGCCTACGCTTGGCCCATACCCCTTCCAAGCATTTCTTATTCATGTACTTATCCAAATATCTTTTAGATGTTGTAACTGTACCCACATTCACCACTTACTTTGAAAGTTCATTCCACACACGAACCACTCTCGATGTAGAAGTTTCCCCTCATGTCTTTTTAAAATCTTTTTCTTCTCACCTTAAAAATATGCCCCCTTGTCTTGAAATTCCCCACCCTAAGGAAAAAACACCAGCCATTCACCTTATCTATGCCCCCCAAGATTTTATAAACCTCCATAAGGTCATCCCTTAACCTTTTACACTCCGGTCAAAAAAAACTTGCAGCCTTTCCTTATAACTCAAATCACCCCCCAATTTCCAGCAACATCCCGGTAAATCTGTTCTGAACCCTCTCCAGCTCCTTCCTATAACAGGGTAACCAGAACTGTACGCAGTATTCCATTAGAGGTCCCAGGTCAAATGAGGAGAGGTAGGCCTCATTTGGGACTGAAATGGACATTTACACATGGAGGAAAGGAGCGCATTTGCGATAATAAATGAACATTTAGCATTTGTCTTTACCAAGGAACCAGATGTCACCCAAGCCATATGACAGAGGAGGAAACTCAGTCATGAAAAGGGTTCAAAATTTATGAGGAAGTGAAATCAGATAAGCTGTTAGTATTTGGAATTAACAAGGCACTTGGACTGAATGGAATACATCCAACAATATTGAAGGAAGCAAGAACGGAAGTTACACAGGCACCAGCCATAATCTTTCAGTCTTCCTTGGACAGTGGGGTGGTACCAGAGAACTGGAGAATTGCCCTTGTTTATAAAAGATTGTAAGGAAAAGCCCAGCAATTACAGACCAGCCAATTTAACTTAAGTAATGGAAAACCTTCTGTAGAAACAGTCATTTGGAATAGAATTAATAGTCATGTTGACAAATGTGGGTTATTTGGGGAGAGTCACCATGCATTTCTTAAGAGAAAATCATGTTTAACTAGCTTCCAGGAGTTCGTTGAAGAGGTGGTAGAAAGAGTTGATGAGCGTAACACTGTTGATCAGTGCGCACCAGATTTGTGAGCAACGTAATAGCTCATGGAATAAAGGGGCAGTAGCAACGTGGATACAAAATTGGCTGAGTGATAAGAAATGGTGACTAGTGATTAATAGATAAAGAAGTAAATGTGAAGTGAGAAAAAACATTTCCACCCAGTGAGTAGCTCAGGTTTATAATGCACTGCTTGGGATTGTGGTGGAGCGAGGTTAGAGCGAGGCAATCAAAAGGTCTGTACTTGATTTTTTAAATAGAAATACTCTAAGATTATGGGGAATGGCCAAGAAGATGGTACAAAGTCATGTTTATTCAGACAGCTGGTGCAGACATGGTGGGCCAAATGCACTGCACTATAACAATTCTGTGATTCTTCTAATCGAGAAATAACAGCAAGCTGAGAAAATTGCCTGTGGAAAAATAATTCCATGCCATTCATTTTTAGCACTTAACCTTTGTAACAGGGAGTGTTGTCTGAAACTTATGTACACAGGATCACACAACACAGTAGCTTTCCACTGTGACAATTGTAAATATCTTCAAGGGATTTGGTAAAGGCTCTTTTACCTAAACCAACATATGTGAGAGAAATATAGACAGTGTAGTTTTAAATATGAATGTTGATTATAATTATATCAATTAATTTTCTATATAGATTTCATGAGTTCTTGGTAAATGGGTTAAAATAAAAGTTTGTCATAGTAAAACATTTTATCGAATAGGTAATCTGTGTGGCAAGTTAGATTAAAATCCTCTCTTAAATATCAGAGATTAAAATGGAAGTTAGGCACTGGAGCATTCTTTCAATCTGATATGAATAAGAAACCTCAGAAACACATTGAGTGGGAAATCCTAAGGGCATGGTGTTCTACTCTTGCATTGTCAGTGGATGGAAAATCTAGTTTTAGGGTATGAAAATCAATTTAACAGAAAAGTCTGGATATTTTCAGTTGTTACATTTGAATGAATGAACAAAAACACCTGTTCTCAGATCATTGGATTGTAGTTTAAGTAACCTATAAACCTCTTTTACTAGCTTGGAAACGATTGCCTGCATTCAGACAGGTTTGATTAGGCAGTTGACTAGCTCTGAGCAGTAGGAGAGGAAACCAGATGCTGCCTGGTATTAAAATGAACTGTTTTTACATCAAGCCTTTTGAAGGAATGGTCAACACGAGTTCACAGTAAATCTCACTTAGTCAGTCTGCAAAATTAAATGCATGTCTTCAGACCTCTTAGGCTTTTTTAGCAGTGGCTGACTGTCTTTTAAATTCATGACATCTTTTCAGATCCATTCAGTCGAACAAACACCTACGGTGGCCTTGGAAACCTCAGCACGAGTGCCTTTGGAGGATTAGGCAATCCAGCACTTGGTTAGTGCATGTTTGTATTGTAAATATAAAGTACCACTATTCTTTGTGTTTATTTAGTCAGGTATTATCACTGGACTGCTAATCTAGATATTCAGGTAATTTCTCCTTTAATTTCTTACACTTTCTTCAGGTCAAAGGGGTGGCCATGGGTACCTGCATGGGCCTCATTTATGCCTGAATCTTTGTGGAGTATGTGGAACATTACTTGTTCCAGTCCTACACTGGCCCCCACCTTTCCCTTTCTCTGGTACATCGATGATATCACTGGTGCTGCTTCCCTGTCTCATCTGGAATTGGAGAAGTTATCTATCTTGCTTCCAGTTTCCACCCTGATTCTCATCTTCATCTGGTTCATCTCTGACTCCTCCCTTCCCTTCTTCGACATCTCTGTTTTCATTTCTGGAGATAAGCTGGTCACCAATAACCACTACAAATCCACCGACTCCCACAGTTACTAGGACTATACATCCTCAGCACCCTGCTTGCTGCAAAGACTCCATTCCATTCTCCCAGTTCCTCCATCTCCATCATATCTGTTCCAATGATGCCAACTTCGACAAGAAGGCCTCTGAAATGTCCACCACCTTCCTCAACCAGGATTCCTTACCACCATGGTTGACAAGGACCCTCAGCCATGGCTGATCCATCTCCCATACTTCAGACCTCACCCCCTCACCACCTCTCCCCTCCCACAACAGCGATAGGAGCTCCTTGTCATCACCAACCATCCCACTAGCATCCACATCCAAAGGATCATTAGCTGCCATTTCTGCCACCTCCAGTAGGATGCCACCACTAGACACACATTCCCCTCCACTCTCTTGTTAGCCTTCCCGCAGGGACTGTTCCCTCCAGAACACCCTTGTCCACTCCTCCTCTACTCCAAATACCTTCCCACGCCTCAACATCACCTTCCATTGCAAACGCAGAAAGTGTTACACCTGCCCAATTACTTCCTCCTCCCTCACTATCCAAGATACCAGGTGAAGCAGTGATTTACCTGCATTTTATTTGATCGCATCCACTGTATTCACTGCTCACAATGTGCTTACTCTGTACCTTGGGAGACAAAGCGCAGAACAGGCGAAGGCTTTGCAGAGCACCTATGTTCTTTCCACCAAAATGACCCTGACCTTCCGGTTGCCTGCCACTTCACACCACCCAATTCCCTGGCCAACATCTCTACCTCAGGCTAGCTGCAATGCTCCAGCAAAGTTCAGCGCAAGCTAGAAGGACAGCACCTCCTTTTCCACTCAGGAACCCTGCAGCTTTCTGGACTCGAGAGATGACCAGAGTAAGAGTAGGGCCGATCAAGGATTGTAAAGGGAATTTTTGCACGGAGCCTAAAGAGATAGGAGAGGCCCTTAATGAATACTTTCCTTCGGTATTCACAACTGAGAGGGACCTAGTTGTAGAGGAGGATGGTGTGAAACAGGCTGGTAGGCTAGAGGAGGTGGATGTTAGTAAGGAAGATGTACTAGGAATTTTGAGAAACTTGAAGATAGGTATATCTCCCAGGCCTGATGGGATTTATCCAAGGATTCTATGGGAAGCGAGGGAAGAGATCGCAGGGCCTTTGGCGATGATCTTTTCGTCCTCACTGTCCACAGGTATAGTGCCAGGAGATTGGAGAGTGGCAAACGTCATTCCCTTGTTCAAAAAGGAACAGGGATAACCCTGGAAATTACAGGCCAGTTAGTCTTACTTCAGTGGTGGGCAATTTATCGGAAAGGGCTCTGAGATATAGGATTTATGATCACTTGGATCGGCACAGTTTGATTCATGATAATCAGCATGGATTTGAGAGGGGTAAATCATGCCTTACAAACTTTATTGAATTCTTTGAAGAGGTGACCAAACACGTGGATGAATGTAGAGCAGTGGATGTGGCATACATGGATTTAAGTAAGGCGTTTGATAAGGTTCCCCATGGTAGGCTCATGCAGAAAGTATGGAGGCATGGGACAAGGGGAAATGTGGCAGATTGGATTCAGAATTGGTTGACCCTTAGAAGATAAAGGGTGGTAGTGGACAGAAAATATTCAACATGGTGCTCAGTTACGAGTGCTGTACCACAAGGATCTGTTCTGGGTCCTCTTCTATTTGTGATTTTTGTAAATGATTTGGATGAAGGAGTGGAAGGGTGGATTAGTAAGTTCGTGGATGATATGAAGGTGGGTCGAGTTGTGGATAGTGCGGAGGGCTGTTCTAGGTTACAGAGGGACATTGATAGGATGCAGAGCTGGGCTGAGAAGTGGCAGATGGAGTTTAACCCTGAAAAGTGTGAAGCGATTCATTTTGGAAGGACAAACTTGCAAGCAGAATACAGAGTTAACGGAAAGATTCTTGGCAGTGTGGAGGAGCAGAGGGACCTTGGGGTTCATGTTCACAGTTCCTTGAAAGCTGCCACCCAGGTGGATAGAGTTGTTAAGAAGGTGTGCGGTGTGTTAGCTTTCATTAATAGAGGGATTGAGTTCAAGAGCCGTGAAGTTATGCTCCAGTAATACAAAACCCTGGTTTGGCCACATCTGGAATATTGTGTTCAGTTCTGATTGCCTCATTACAGGAAAGATGTGGAAGCGTTGGAACAGGTGCAGAGGAGATTTACCAGGATGTTGCCTGGAATGGAGGGAAGGCCTTACGTGGAAAGGTTGAGAGTGCTAGGGCTTTTCTCTTTAGAACGACGAAGGATGAGAGGTGACTTGATAGAGGTGTACAAAATGATCAGAGGTATAGATAGAATAGACAGCCTAGGGTGGAGGTAGCTATTACGAGGGGGCATAGTTTAAAGTGAGTGGAGGTAGGTTCTTTACTCAGAGAGTGGTAGGGGTGTGGAATGCATTGCCGGAGAGGGTATTGGAGTCGGCCTTATTAGGGGCATTTAAGCGGCTATTAGATAGGCATATGGATGATAATAAGGTCGGGGTAGCGGTTAGATAGACCTTAGGTTTAGGGTAAAAGTTCGGCACAACATCTTGGGCCGAAGGGCCTGTACTGTGCTGTACTGTTCTATGTTCTATGTTCAATATAGAGTTCAATAATTTGTGTGGTTGAGCACCTCCTCCCATGATCTATCTCAAACCCCACACACCAGGCCTTGTTGTCACATGCGCTGCAACCACAAACACCTATTGTCAGTCACTAATGGTTCCCTTTAGCAGCTATTCATTTTCTTCACCCTTACCCATTCCTTTGTCTGCCCAACTTTTTTTCTCTGTCACAGGGCTCCATCTCCATCTATCCTTTAGTCCTCCCCCATTCCCCTATCCTATCTTTAGCACATATACCAACCCTTTTCTAGCTACAGTCAGCTCTGAAGAAGTGTTACTGGATCTGAAATATTAATTCTGCTTTCTCTCCACAGATGCTGCCAGATCTGAGTTTCCCAGCAATTTCTGTTTTTGGAGTTCGAATTTCTGGGTTTGAATCCTTCCACGGCAGATGGATTGAATTCAATAAAAAGAATCTACAATTAAGAGTCTAATGATGACCATGAATCCATTGTCGATTGTTGGAAAAACCCATCTGGTTCACTAATGTCCTTTACGGAAAGAAACTGCCATCCTTACCTGGTCTGGCCTACATGTGACTCCAGACCCACAACAATGTTGTTAACCCTGAACTGCCCTCTGGGCAATTAGGGATAGGCAATAAATACTGGCCTAGCCAGTGATGCCCTTATGAATGAACTTTAAAAACGGCAGGAGTACAATTACTTGTTTTGACTAGGTTAGCAGTTTGCCAAGTGTTTTCTTCATGCAGAAGTTAGATATTTTAATAGGCCATTGATGTTTAAATGTGTCTTGCTAACATCTTTGCCAAGTCGCTTGTTTAAAAAAAAATTCAAAAGGATGCAGTTGATGATGTGCTAATGTTGCATTGCTTATCCCACTTTTTCTAAATCTGGCAACTATTGCTGTAGAGCAGATCATGCAGGAGCTGCCCCAGCAGTGTGAACAATTGTCGTCATTCAATACTACCGATGTCAGACGGAGTTTTCACAATTGACTCATTCAGGAAGTCAAACCATCTAGTGGTAACATAGACATTCAGGCTTTATAAGTGCAAGCATCCACCAGTTTTGCTGTTTGGTTCAATTGTGGTGACATTCAGTATGCACTAACAAGACTAAATGTCTTTACTGTTAATGAGTCTACTTCAAATAAGCAATCGGACTGTGAAAATTTGACTTTGAATGTTCAAGCCCAGCTCCAAGTGTTTTTTTTATGCTTGGCAAAACAGTACATTATAAAAACTTGTATATCATGTGATTTTATAAAAAGGTATTCCACTTAATCTGTTTGTTTTCCACATATTCTACTTGCCTAGCTTCCAACAGCATGTTTGGTCACAAAGAACCTCCAGGAATACAGAGCCTCAACAATGCTCATGAGCCATGGAACCGTCTCCATCGAACTCCACCTTCATTTCCAACCCCACCGCAGTGGCCAAAACCAGGAGAGTCTGAACGAAGCTCCTCCGTAACTAACCACGACAGAGACCGAGATTTGGAGAAAAGAGATTCTTCACTTAAAAGTGACAGAGAGAAAGAAAGGTACCTGCCTAACTATATCACCTCCTGTTTAGTGGGAGTTTTCATTAGAATCCCTACAGTGTGGAGACAGGCCATTCGGCCAAACAAGTCCACAACAACCCTCCAGAAAGCATCCCACCCAGATCCATCCCCCTACCCTTTTCCTGTAACCCTGCCTTTCCCATGGCTAACGCACCTAACTACACATCCCTGAACACAACAGGCAATGCACCCAACTTGCACATTTTTGCACTGTGGGAGAAAACCGGAGCACCCAGCGGAAACCCACACAGACACAGGGAGAATGTGCAAACTCCACACAGACTGTTGCCCGAGAGTGGAATCGAGCCTGGGTCCCTGGTGCTGTGAGGCAGCAGTGCTAGAGATTGAGCCACTGTACTGGTAGCATTCACTGTGTGAACACATTCTATCTACTTCACTCCATGTGTTATAGTATTGATTCCTTTTGATCTGAGCACCTTCCTCAGTTGACTAATGCTTTCAAAATGGTTCTGTGCACATCAGGTTCATAACAAGGATTTGCCCAGCTTATCACAACATGAACGTGAATAAGAACTTGTTGCAAGGAATTTAACCATGAAGAACAAATTGTTCCAATTTTTGAGTAGTGTTTAGTGTTGCTTTTGGGAAGGGGGCTGTGCACATGGACTCCCTGCACTGGGACTTCCCACAATTCTGATTACAGTGGGACTCCACATAAAGGCACGGATTGCCACACAGCACTCCCACCCCCCCCCCAATCCCCACTTAGATTGCAGAATGAAGCAGCCATGGTCTGAAATTTCCAGCAGTTTGTGATGTCCAATTCTAATTTGGATACCAATGATAATAGATATCCTGTCAGTGAGCCTGTATTTTGCAGCAAACCAATGCTAATCCCAAGTTGTGGAACATCAATGCCCACATTTATTTGTAATGTGGAAGAAGATGTCATCCATACAGAAATAATCCCTTCATTTGTGTTTATTTTACCAGGGAGATGGGTAATATAAATCATTAAAGAATCAATTGTAAAATTAGTTCTAGAATCCCACCTTGGAAAATAGAGGTCCTTGGGAGACTTAATTTGTCTGTTCATTGTGTTAGAATCATAGAATGTTACAGTACATAATGAGGTTGTTCTGCCTGTCATGCCTGTGCTGGTTCTTATAAAGAGCTATCAATTAGCCCCGTAGTCATGCAAATGTTTCTTTTTCTCGTTCACATTTGCAAGTTATTGTTGAATCTGCTTCCACAATCCTTGCAAAAACATTACAAGTCATTGCTTAAAAAATGTTCCTCATTACCACAATATCTAAATAGTTTGTTATTTCTGACTTAAAATGAATACCTTTATGCTTTGTTGACTGAATTGAGCAAACATTCAGTTATAATTCTATGATTCTAGCCTCTGCATATTTGTCAGGAAAAAAAGCCTCATTCTGATATATGCAGCTGTCATCACCATTGCAAAAGGAGATAACATACTGTGGATTGACCAAATGGAATGTTTCACTTTAAAAGGTCCCATTGACCTGTGGCATATTTCCAGAATTTCATGTGAAAAATGGCTTGCCTAAAAATGTTCCAAAGTTTCCAAACTTTTCAGGTTTACTAGATTTGAATAAACAGATCACCAGACATAATTGTTTGCAGTACCGTGCAGTTTAAAATATTTGCATGTTTTTCTAGGGATGGAGTGGAGAAAAACAGGCATTCCAACCGATCATCACCAGCATCTGCCCCAGTCAACCATCAAATCAACAACCTCATCCACAGCAACAGCCGAAGCATGAATGATCCAAGCAGGCACCATAGCAGCACTGAGCGAGATCGGTCAAAGGAGCTGGAGAGAGATCACACAGACCCACTGAGGGAGTTATCTAGCACTGAGCATAAAATCAAGGAAAACCGGTCACCAATAAAAGATGGGCAGAGCCACGAGAGACGGCTACCTGAAGAAAACACAAAACCAGTTGTGAGGCCCAGTTCTCCATACAACAGAGCTGTACTGAGTGAAAGCATGAAACTCAGCAATTCGGTGAGCAAAGACAGCGAAAGGAAATCGGAGCCCTCCTGTGACCTTCAGAAAATAAAGAATGATGTAAAGATAAAAGAAGAGCGAAAAGAGGATAATGAGGTGATGGTGATAGGTTCGGACTCATCTCAGCATCCAAGGAATAATGAGCCACCTCACCACACATCCATACACGGAATTCCACTGAGTCATTCTATGGGCCCCATGCCTATTACAATGAGCAGTATCCACCAGATGAACAACATGAATGTGCTTGACCGTGCACGAATGGTAACACCTTTCATAGGTATGAACCCGCTGGCGGGAAGAGAACGACTACCCCACCCTGGATTTTCATGGGATCCTGTCCGGGATCCTTTACGAGATGCATACCGGAGCTTTGACTTGCACCGCAGGATGGAATTCCCTCTACGCACAGATTCCATGCACAGGTTCCCAACGCCGGCTGGTTTCTATGAGCATGATCGGTCGTATAGAGACAGAGAGCCTCACGACTACAACCATGAGCACGTTCTGGAGGTCAGACGTGAACAGGAGCGCTTACGACACACAGATGAAAGAGAACGTTTGCACCTAAGGGAAGAATTTGACCGTGCTAGGTTACATGCCTTGCATACATCATCAATGGATGGTCACTTGGCACATGTGCCATCCTTTATGCCTCACATAAGTGGAATGCACTACCCGAGGCTAAGTCCATCCACTGCCAATCACAATGGTATTTTGAACAGGACCCCACCAACTGCAGCATTGAGTGCTCCACCTCCTCTTGTACCAGCAGGCAGTGCACGGTCTGTCTCTCCCCGGAGGACTACACCACTCACTAACTCAGAGTCCCGGGACTACTCCCCTTCTCGTAATCCCAAAGAAGTTGAGGCAAGGTAGTTCTTGGACCTGTTGACAGCTGTCCTATATATGAGATCCTTTGATTCAAATAATGCACTGCAACAAGAAGAGAACGCTGTAAATTTATAAAATTGAAGCACAGTTGAGAGGGATAAAAAGTCTGTGATATCAGAAGATTGCTTATAATTGGAATTAATATATTATCAATTATAAATCTCTAGATTTCTTTGTGCAGAGAAGAATTCTGAAATCATGTTTGTACATTTTTCCAATATTTGAAATCTAATTTGTATGGATTTGTAATTTTATTGTTTCACTTCAATTTGTTTGCTTTTCAGTTTTGTGTTCTGTTTTCAGCAGTTACAGGCCTCAGACTATTTTAATAATACCCAGGGTTTGCTATTGGTATCATTTATCAAGATACCAATTTACAATGAATCCACTGTGATGTTTCATATTGAGGCCAAAAATGACTTTATTTGCTTCCCAAAAATGTCTGTGTACTTTGAGAAATGTACAAATCTGAATTTGTTTTGCCTTATTAACAATTACAAGATATGCAGAAGAGGTCCTTGTGGTTCATGTACAAATGTAAATACTCTGTTGATACTCAGAACATGCTAATTAAATTCTTTACTTAGGTAGCCTTTATAAAGGGTTTTTGAAACCAGAACAGCTCACTCGATATTTGTAGCACAGTTATTCCAATAGTGTCATGTGGAAGTGTGCTTGAAGCTCAGTTTCAGAGAAGCGTATTCAATTCAACTATGCAAGAACCACAGGCAGGTCTTTCACAAAGGCTGTGTACCCAAACTAATGGCAACATACCATGGGGTGGGGGAACACTACTGTGTGCAACAGTGGGGACAACATGTAAATCCATTAAGCAAACACAGAAGACCAGAGGGAGAGACAAAAACTGTTGGACCAATGAGGCACCCAGTTCAGAGAGAGGTTTTATTTCTCGATCCACAACACAGACAATAATGCATTGGGAAAAATTCTTAGTGGCTAACAAGGACATTCAGTGTGGACCTTGTGTAATTGTGCAGTGTTTTTATGGAATCTGTATACAAGACAAAGTAGTATTTTAGGATCAAAAATCTCATGGTAACATTTCTAATAAAATACTGTTAGCAATGAAGTCCTTAAACAGGTCTTTCTTGCAGTGTGGTTCTGGCTGAATTACTCTGCCTGATTCTTCATCTCTTGGTCATATGTAAATTTTGCCATGTTTTACTTGCTGGACAAAAAAAGCAGCATCTGTGTTTATATATCTGGGCTTTTACTCTGTAGTTACTTCATACATCAGCTACATTTCTTTCTTTCTGCTCTGTACTTTGGTTTCTGTATTTTAAACAGACTTGATTCCTGTAGATCAATGAGACAAATACAGCATTGATTTTGAGACAAAATGGTTGTTTGTTTGTTGTGTCAGAGGTCATACCAATTGAACTGTTTAACACCACCACTTGAGTTGTTAATGCAAAATTGTTTTGACAATCCCCACAGAGATGCTATCTGCCTGTGACAATGCTTTTTTGTATTTTTCAGCTGAGAACTATATGGCCAGTAGTTACGTTATTGGACCAAGTAGAAAAACCTTCATAATCAACACTGGCCCTTTGTTTCTCTGCTCATTTCCAATGCAAAAAAAATCCATATTTACTTTGAAAATATCTCCCTGTTTTACCTACTGTAGGATGTAATACACTGTAATTCTCACTGCAGTTCTGTCAACGCAAACTTTATAGATCCTATCATCCAACTAATCCGTGGCAAGCTCACGAGGTAAATCAATTTTTTATTCATTCATGGGATGTGACTGTCACTGGCTATGCCAGCTTTACCCATCCCTAATTGCCTAGTGGGCAGTTAAGAGCCACAATACTGTGGGTCTGGAGAAATGTGTGGACAAAGACCAGGTAACATGGTTGGATGGCTGCTTTCCTTCACTAAAGGACTGTCTATGACAATTACCAATGAGTACACGATAACCATTCTGGTAGCTTTTAATTGCAGATTTTTATGAAGAGCCAATGTCACCCATCCTTTGTTTCATTGTATTCAGCACTCTGATATTCTTTCACATTATTGATATATTTGTACTTAGACCTTATTTTCCCATCATCCTGCAAGCTTGAGTTCATTTCCTCCTTTGAAAGTTTGTTCAAGCCTGCATTCATGGAGTGGAGTTGATTGTAAAATAATCGCTTGTGATCTTGGTGTGTTTTTAATTTTGACAAAAGGGTTTTTCTGGTTATACTATTTATACTATAGAGTGAACTTTTATATACATCATACATATAGAGTCCCAACAGCACACTTGTCAAGACAGTGAGCTATTCAGCCATGCAAACCACAGATTTGATCTTAACAACATAAGAAATAGGAGCAGGAGCAGCAGCAGGCTATTTGGCCCCTCAAGCCTGTCCTGCCATTCAACAATATCATGATTGATCTGTCCCAGGCCTCAACTTCTCTTTCACACCAGTTCAGCACAGTTGTCAGCTGCCTGATATTTCAAAAATCTATCTACCTCCTCTTTAAATCTTGATCACTACAAGTATTTGAAAACTCTCTGGTGTAGAGAATTCCAGACATTCACAACCCTCTGGGAAAAGCAATTCCTTTTCAGTTTTAAATGTGTCTGCTTATTCTGTAACTATGTTCCCTAAGTTGAGATTCCCCCACTGGTGGAAGCAGGTTCTCAACAGCTGTGGAGCAGGTGGGACTTGAACCCAGGTCCAGGGGTTGGGACACTGCCACTATGCCACAAGGGGGTCCTGATTCAGACTCATATGCTTCAATAAGATCATGTCATTCTTCCAAACGCTTTTAGCCATTCTTGATAATTCAACCCCTTCATCCCAGGATTCAGCCTTGTGAATCTCTTTTGAACACCCTCCAATGTCAGTATATCCTTTTTAAATAACTGGGACCAAAGCTGTACACAGTACTCCAGATGTGGCATCATCAATGCCCTGTGCAGTTGTAACAAGACATCCCCTTTTTATTCAAGTTCCAATCCCCTAACAATTAAGCCCAAAATTCAATTTGCCTGCTTTAATTACTTTCTGAAATTGCATGCTACCTTTGTATGTTTCCTGCACAAGAACATTCTGATCCCTCTGGACTGCACTTTTTTAGAGAGTCTCTCTATAAAGTATTTACACTTTCCAAATATTGGACTCTAAATTTAGTCCGCTTACTCAACCTACCCATATCCCCTTGTAGATTCCTTATGTCTTCATGATAACATTCCCTCCAATCTATTTTTATATCATCAGCAAATATGAATAGATTCATCCAATGATGAATTGGATAGATGCCCCTCATCCAAGTTATTAAGATAGGTAGTAAGTAATTGAGGCTCTACAACTGATTCTTGGAGCACTAGTTAGGTCTTTCCAACCTAAAAAGACCTGTTATCCCAATTCAGTCTTTTGTGTCTTAACCAATCCTCAATGCACATTAGCCCCAATACTAAGGTCCTGTCTTATGCAATAGATGTTTGTGGCTCCTTTTGAAAATCCAAATATACTACATATACCAGGTCCCTTTTAGCAACTCTCCTTGTAGCATCAAATTTGTCAAATATGACTTCCCTTTCCTAAAACCACGTTGACACTGGTTCTGTTAGGATTTTTTTTTAGATGACTTGCCTTTACTTTCTTTATAGTGGACAATAGCAATTTTCCCAACAACAGATGTTAGGTCAACTGGCCTATTGTTTCTTGATTTCTGTCTCTCCTTCTCCTTGAACACATCAGCAGTTCTCCAATCTGCTGCAACCCTGTCAAAATCCAATGAGTTATGGAATATTTTAACCAATGACTGCCCTATCACTGCAGCCACTTCCTTTTACAAAACCTGAATGCAGGCCATCAGGCCCTGGTGATTTGTTTGCTATTAGTTTTTCAAATAGTAAAGGTTCAGTTGCCATAGTCTTCCCAGACCATAGCACTGTTCTCTCATTAGATAGAGATGACTGCTGGTGGATTAACCTGAGGGTGACCCCACCTCAAGTGACAAGAAAGACTGAGAAGGAGAATCCTTCATGGTAATCTCAGCTGGTGTGGGAATTGAACCCATGCTGTTGGTGTCACTCTCTATTGCTAACAGATCCTCCCACTCTTCCGCATTGTTTGTTGCCTACGAAGAAAACTGTTACAAGATCTTCTTTTCCCATTAGTACCTTGGTTACCTGTTATCTTTTGGATATTTATAATGTCCTCCATCATGAAGACCTATGACAAGTAATGGTTTAAATTAACTATCATTTCCCTGTTCCTGTTATCGATTATCCAGTTGCATCCTCCATCTTTTGCTGTTTGTTTTTATATTTGCTAATTTACTTTCATAATCAAATTTCTTTTTATCTTTTAGTTTTTTAGTCATCCACTGTTGGTTCCTAAAAACAAAATCCCCAATCTTCTGACCTGGACCACTTGTCTTTGTGGCTCTTATGTCTTAGTTTTTGTTTCAATATTCTCCTTGATCACTTTTTGTTAACCATAGGTGGTTCCTCCATCCCAAGTCCATTTTTTGGACCAGAATAAACTTTTTTGCTGGGCATTATGAAGTATCTGCTTAAATGTCTGCTGTGCACATCCACTGTCTTTCCTCTTACTCTGTTTTCACAATCTGCTTCAGACAATTCTTTCCTCATACATGTCCTTAATTAAGAGAGGATACTAGTCTGAGACCCAAGTTACTCCCCCTCAAATTGAAATTCTACTATGTTGTAATCACTACCCCTAAAGGATCCTTAACTACATCTAAAATAGCTTACTCACAGGTGGGTTCTGCAGTACACTACTCTGAGGAGCAATCCCTGGTGAACACGAGGTATTTGTCTTCCACATCACCCTTGCATATCTGATTTGTCTAGTAAATATGCAGATTAAAATCATCCATGACAATGCAGTATGTTCTTACACAGCTTCATTATTTCCTGATTTATACTTTGTCCTACATTTGAGACAGTTCTTCAGGGGCCTACTGTTTACTCCCATCCATGACTTTCCCTTGCCATTCCTTATTTCCACCAAACTGATTCCCCATCATAATCTATTGCACTTGTATCACGACTTACAACCACGCTAATATTGACCTTCATTAACAAAGCTACCCCACCTACTTTTCATTTTTGCCTATTCTTCTGTAGCATCAAGTATCCTTAAATATTGAGTTCCGAGTCTTGCTCACATTTATGCATTTGCTGCATTTGTCGATCTAAGGTAATACAGCAGCAGAGAATGCTGCAATTAGCCCTGATGCTCCTGGGTTAGAGAAATACCCAGAGGACACAGATTTAAGGTAAATGGCAACAAAATCAACAGCAACATAAGGAAAAAATCTCCTTAGGCACAAATGGTTAGATGAGTGTGTGGTGGAAGCAGATTCAATCGGGGTTTTTTTTAAACTTGGATAAGCGTGTAAAGAGGAAGTTTACAGCCAAAGGGCAGGACAGTGGGCCTAGATGAGTTGATCTTGCAGAGAGCCAGCACAGATGCATTGGGCCAGATAGCCGTCTGTACTGTAACCATTGTGAACACT